ACGGTTATGAGGAGAATTCCGAAACTATTTAAAGGACAGGCGGCCGACCCTCTTCGCGGCTGAGCGATTTAACGGAAGTTGCCGACAACCCTCAATAGGAACGAGAAACTCCAATTGCAAGCCGGGCACAATGAGAATCAAGTGAAATAGGGAAAATTAAACGAGATAGTAATGAGACAACTGCGGTGGAGGGCTGGGGGTTCGGAGTATCAGCAGAGGCAAGGGACAACACCAACAGCAAGCGAGAGAACAACCAGCGAATGTATCCCCCAACGCACAACAAGTTTAATGCACACAGAGGTATTCCCAAGTACCTTCTGGTTTATGATCAGTCTAGCACACTTGGTTTCAGGGCATCACCCTGGGACCAATGCCCGCGTATGATCCTTCCCGGTCCGAGTGGAGATGTTGTCTTACCGTGGCTAGTTAGAGAGGCGGAGGTGGGAGCAGGCTTGCCATGTGGTGGTGTGATGGGATAAATCAGTCCAAGGCTTGAAGTGAGAGAAAAATCCTTTCATGAGAGGCTAGCGTAAGGATCTCACGCGCCACCAGGCATACATTCGGCGTGCAATTCCGTATGTGGCGGGTTGGGTATCAACGCCAACGGCCTCAATCCTCCCATGAAAAACGGAGTTGCGAGCAGGTGGAGGTGAAGCTCTCGCGCCCGCAGTCTTTATGCCAACCCTGGTTGCCAGTGGATGCTCCGGCTATCGCGAAAAATTCCAGGCTTGAGGAAACAAACCCATGTAGGTTGATATGGAATAGTAAGGGATTCGCTCTAGAGACAATGCATCTCTCATGCCGCCTTGAGCGACAGCCGACGGGGGCTGGTCGACGAGCTTGCCACGAGCTGGCCTTGTCGTGTGGCCCATCTTGACGCCCGCAATTTTACATTTCTCCGACGATCAAGTTGTGTGGGAATCTCAGACGGGTTAATGGCCGAGATTCTTTTATTAATAGGGCAAGGGTTGGGTTGATAACCCGCAGGACAGACGAGATAAAGAGGCTCAAAAATGAGGGCACTTCCCCGGCAGATGGTTATTTGACCTGCTTTGTTTTCGAGACAATCGTTCGTGTTAATAGCGATCGTGATTAAATGACAGTCTTGTCTCAAGCTTGCAAACGCCTCTCCTCTCTATGTAGCCTAGGTACGCATAGGATGATGCATGACCTTCGACAGGGATGAACTACAGGGCGTATTGAATCTGATCTGGAATGAGGAGCACCCCCTTTCCCCCTTCCTCACTCGAACTCATAGCTTCTGTTTCATAGGAAGGACCTCGATGGGTAAGGACCGAACCGGGAACGTGAACGGGCGTAGGCTGCCAATTCTGCACTCCGCAAGCATCTACCACGTTTTCATTTACTTGTGTCCAACCCCAGCATGATGGGGAAGGATTCTTCTCGTTCCCTGTTCCTACGCTGTACATCCGAACACGTAAAGACATCTAAAGGAAGACTTCGTCAGCTCAACCTTGCCCCCTTCCGTTTGACGGGCGGGGTTCCTCGCGTGCGCCAACCCCATCAAGACTCGTTTCCCTAAGATGGTAATATATGTCGTGCCGAGGAGCTTGGTCACTGTATGTACATGCGCCGCGCACCACATTTGTAGTTACATCCAAGGCGGACCTATGCAGTGCTGGTCAAATCTGAAGGTACTTGGTCAAGGATTAGCTCGGGTTGCAGGGCGTTGTGACTCGCTAGAGCCTACTCGGCAACTGGGGCCCCTCGCAGCGACAGCTGAAAATACGTTTCTCGTTTAGCCTGCATCTCAACCCCCGCGAGACGTTGAAACTTATGACGCTCCAAGTGGAGTATCTCACACACACCTCGATGTTGTCGCACACGCAGACATACTATAGCGTCCTTCTGGAAGCCAGGACTGTTGCTCTTGCACCAAATAAGCAAGGAAACGGGTGCAGTGGAAGCGGATACTCTCGTGGTGTGCGATCCGCTTAACGGCCAACGGATAGGTGGTTGTTTGAAATTGATGTTGAGATCAGGTGATGCTGCCTCATACTTCCTCACTAGAGGTAGCCAACAATGCTATATTACACGCTGATATGCAGTCAATGTATTAATAGCAAGCCTTGCTCACGACATCATTCCCAAGGGTTACACAGGTGATGAATGCAACGACATGTATAGTCAACGCCCCTCTGAGGTAGAATTCTGTGTGTGACCTCTGCCGCCTGGAGCTTTGGTCGTCGGATGTGTCCGGCACTCGTCGTCGTCCATTCCGGATGAGAGTAGCGGTGTCGATATTGAAGAACCCCGCGTCACAGCACCCTGCCTGTTGATGTGTGCGCCTGCTGCAGGTCGATCACAGGGGGGCCAGGCCTGTATGCACGTAGGAGTGGCCCCGACAGGTCTGGCATTCTTCTACTCCTGTTGCTTCCGACTATCTCATGCATATTGTCCTGCCAGGCCGGGCGACAACATCAACAGCTTATTGTCCCCTTGACGGATCTCCGGAACCGAACCACACCGGTAACCGATGATTTTGTACTCTGTAGATCCTGGTCGACAGCAACAGACCGAGTCGCTTGCCAGATACCACTCTGTTGAGCAATCATGTGTTTCTTAGGAGCGATGGAGACCAGAACGCTGAACCTCGAAGCGGAACTTGTGGGGTTAATAGAGAGCACCTTGCGAGTCCATCTGTCAATTGAACAGAGTTGGTATGTGCTAGTAAAAAGAATCCACCGGTGGAATGTCGTCCCCACTGCATCTTTGCATATGTCGCTTTCCGTAATGAGGCACAGATGCGCGCTTGTTGCACGATATATGTTTATCTAAAGCACTGACGTAGGCAGCCACTTGGCCGAAGGTGGTCGGTGTTTGTGTACACCGCACCAACGCCAGGGTCGAAGAAAACGAGGGCCAAGTGATGACATGAAATCATGATCGGCCAAGTGAGGGCCGACAACAAATGCCCGACAGGGGTATGGAATCAATTGGCATGCCATTCAATAGAGGAGTTTCCACGCAGGTTTGCATACATGTGGACGAGGGCTGAATGCCTTGGATACGACAGCCTCCGTATCCGTACACGACTGCTAATCTGTGATATATGTATGAGGCTAGAATGTAGGTGTGGCACGGGATCCTAGATAAACGCTGCTGTGCTACCGCCGGGAGGCATCTTGTGATCCGATCTTGCGTCGGGGAAGTATCGCAATTGGGAAACTGCTTCATTACGGAGTGTAAGCACATAATGCCCACGGCACGGCGCATGCTTGCGTGCATATACTCCTGTGGCTTTGGTGGCTCCCCTCCATCTAAACGGATAGAGGATCATCCTTGGGGGCGTCGCCGACGTAATTTTGAGGCGCTACTACCTCGTTTGCTGGTATGTATCAACGGGATGAGTCGGCTTAATTCTCATTCGTCTGCTACCCATGGGGCTTCTTTGGGAAAAGCGGTTATAGCCATGGCTTGTTGTGTGGTAGATGACGAGAGCAGATTGATGATACGTTGGCTTGTTCTGGCGATCCCCGGCGTGGTGCTGGGAGTGCCTTGCGCTCCCGCCATGTGTGTGCTTTTTCTGCGCGCGGGTATCTTACCTGAATTAACTGAATGGAGGGGCAGGTAGTATGCTTCAGCTGCTTGGTGATAGTACCTGCCATCTCGGCCCGGCAAGGCAGGCAGTCAGCTCTTCCTGCTCCAGAGCCTCTCGGTCGTTTACCTGCACATCTAGGTATCTGTCTCGGTATGCTCGCTACCCTCGGCTCGCGATGGCCGGGGCAGCTTGTGTGGTCTGAACACTGCAAGTGATTGAGGGCATCCGACCCGTGGTGGGTACCTGAATAGCTGGCTGGTTCCACAGCCGCACCCTTCAAATGGCCCTTTGCATCCAGACTTATGCACCACCAGCTTCGTCCTGTCCAGGATGTTTGGGCCTACTGCAAGTTGGGGGGACGGATGTACCCTTAAGTAGCGCTTCTTTGCCCCGCTGCCAGCTCCATCTCCGCCAGGCCCCTGCACCTTGGCATTCTCCTGGCCTGTCCTGTTGGATTGAGCAAGGACGGCTAATTGCCTTGGGCACCGAATTGATAGGCAGTAGCCTATGGGTACGAGGTACCTAGTGCTCAGCAGCCAACCCCGGTTCCCAGTGGCCCGCCTACCTACTTCGAAATTGCCTACCTACAAACGCATGTGCAAACAAAACTTCTACGTTCCCCATCCTGCTCCCATTTCCTTACACTTTTGGCTCATTCTCCGATGGACATCGGCCGATGTCTTGCGCCTCTGTTGACGAACCTCGAATGAAGAAACCGTGGCACCGACTGATAACCTAATATCATCCTAGGAGACCCAGCGAACACAGACCATCGAGACACCCGCAGCCCGGCACACCGTCCCAGTACCCGACTGTCGCTATCCGCCAACAATCCGCGGCCCTGATACAACCAACAACAGCTTCCAGCCAATATTTGCAGTCTCGCTGCGGACCTTACCTCCGGCAGCTCCAGCAGAACCTTGTTTGCTTGCCAACATAGACAATATTAATACGATCACGCACCCTCCTATTCTGGTTTTTGGTCCGAAATTCCTACCTACCACTCGCGCGTACTTGGTCGATCGGCCAATTTCGTACGATAACGCGTTTTTCCTTCGAGGAGATCGATTTGCTGAGGCTACGCTTTGGCCCTTCCCCTCTTGAGCCACCTGTACTAGGGCTGGTCGTCTGATAGCTACTTTAGCTTTTCGGAGAATGCTTGCTGGGCAGTGCATGCTACTCCCTTGCGTCTAGTCCTTGGTCTCGAATCATACTTTGACTTAGCCGGTGCGCCGCCAATTGATCTGCGCATTCCCCAGCGAATTCCCCCCGACTTTCGTATTGGGGTCGATACTTCGTGGCCGACATTTTCCATCAACGAGACCGACGGCATTCTCGCTTCTCTGCATTTTCTACAGCACGTTAGGTGAAAACGCACCTGACGCTCGCTGTCCAAGCTTTCAAGACGGCGCCTCCGCGTGATACAGATCCACGCGAGATGGCGATGGATGCACTGAGGAACCTGACCACACACATACCTGGGTGGCTTTCAAGGCTAGATGTCTTGAGTGGTGAGATAAACAAGCGCCAGACCGAACTGGCCGCTCTGGCCAAGAACGATGCCAATGCTGAGACGAGGTCGATGAGAAATAAGGGCTCGACGGAGTCTTTGAAACCCAAAGATGACGGCCCATCAAATATACCCGCCCCCGAGGACCTATCCGAAATTAAACAAAGTCGCCCTCCCATTGTGAATAGAAACCCACGGGACACCGCCGAGAAACAACGACCATCATCATCCGACCCGACAGCTGGTGATCTAAAGGCTAGTGAGAACACGGCTGAAGCCATCAAAGCTGCCCAGGAGCGTGCTAGAGCGCAGGCCAAGAAGAGGATTAAGCCATCATCTGTGGTTTCTGCAGAGGGAACTGTGAAGCCCACGTATCGGACAAGAAGCATGATCATTGTCTACTACGATAGCTATGTTCAAGGATTCTTCGATGAATTGGTGAGGTTTACGTCTTCCAGTAGAAACTTGATGCGCAAAGCCAAGATGGCCGCCAAGGTTGCGCAGATTAAGAAACTAGCCGAGGGGAACTTGGAGGGCGAGGACGGTGAAACGGCTCTTCCCTCACTACGTTATGCGAGCTCGAGACGCTTTGGTGCTATGGGAGGCATTTCGCGACCCGGCTTTGGCCCCTCAAGGGCCAATGACCAACCAGATATCTACGACAATCTCGACAAGGGCCTGGACTTTGTGCAAGGCACTTGTGAGCACGGAGCGCATCAGTTTTTGAGAGATGCTGATTGCAACGACGAGATCAAGAATATTCAGAGCAGGCTCTTAAAGGTCTACGAGATGGCAAAAGCTGAGATGGAGCGCATTGAAAAGGAGGAGCCGGAACTTGCAAAAGAGACGGGCGAGCTGACAAAAGCTCGCACTCATCGGCCCATCAGTATGAGAAAGCAGCTCGCTTCCAAGGATGGTGATAATGCAAAGGACGATGAGCCGCTTGTCGCCGAGGTGCTTCCGTCTTCGAACCCCAGAGGCTCACATATCGAGCCCGCCCTCCAACCGCAGACTCTGGAGGTGGACGATGCTTTGGAGGCAGATGAAGGTATTGCTGTGGACTACGAACTACCTAAATTACAATACCGCTCGACGCGGGACATGCGTCGAAGAGCGTGAATAACGACGAATTCCTTAATACATCCGAAAAGCCACAGAACTGGAAAGGGAAGAAAGGGGGAAAAGAAGAAAAGAGCAGAGCCAAAGTCTGGCCACAGATGGATTCTGCAACTTTGTCAAAGAACATATCTTAATAAGACCTCATGTCATCTTATTACATTACTTGGTGTTTTCCTTTTCTTGGAGCGGGAGCTCTAAATCAGCATGGCGGATGATCTTATGACTTGGGTTTTATCATCATTTTTTTTCTTTTGGACATGGCTTTAGCGACTCGTTCATTTTTGCTGCATACAATGGGCAGATCGCATGGGATGGAATGGACATTTTTGAAATTGGACTCAGCAGGAACAAGACCTGGTTAGGTGGGTGTACCTTTCTAGGCAGGGGAATTGCCGGAATGTATATGAAACGTAGGATATTGTAGTTTTGGAACTTGTCTAAGTTTCGATATTCATACATACATACGATCATTTCAAGCAAGAGCAGAGCCTGTCAAGATGTGAAAGACGTCGGGCTACAACGGTTGTGTCTGAATGGAAACAAACATCGATCAGCAGATTCAAGGGGGCCTATAATCGATGGTGAACAAGAACCAACAATATGCATGGTGGGATGAAGCCTTTTTTGTTTGTGTAGTAGGTCGGTGCAAATAAATGCGAGGCTGTGGCAGCAGTTGGCTGAAGAAAGTACATCGTTACCTGACTAAGGCCCGAGCGAGGAAGTACTCGTTTGTACCTATCTTACTTGTGAGTGGCCCACGTGATGGCTGTAATTTACCATTTTGGCTTTGAGATACCAAAACGGTACTTAAATCCGCCCCAACCCCACACCCCAGGCAAGTACCCCCTCTATGCGCAAGTACGAACAGCTTCCACTGGCGGCAAGGCAAGCTCCTGACGACATACCTCCGACTCCTGCGACGCCGACGTTAGGGTTTCGCATACAACGACATCCAAGCCCACGCACATCGACTCTAGCTGCCTGACCCTCGCTCATACAAAGGTCGACCTTCGCGATCCGTCTGGCTGGGCTTTCCTACCCTGTCGCCCCAAAATGCCATGACCGTTACACGATTCCCGACTGGTTGATAGTTGCCAGCACCCACACATACGACCATGGGCCAAGGTTTCTCCCTCGCGACGCCGTCTGCCGGCTCCGCGGGGATAGATATTCCTCAGTTGGGCGATGTTCATTACGAGAGAAGCATAGGAAATGCGCGCTTCATGAAAAGTATTCGTGGACGGACTGAGCAAGGTGTCGTTCTTGTCAAAGTGTTGGTGAAGCCATACACTGAAGTCAAACTGGATAAATACAAGGAGAGGATAATCAGTAAGTCGGTGCCTCATACCTTAAAGTATATGGATACGGACTCAGTCTGACCACTTTGTAGACGAACGGAAGGCTCTGGCCGATGTACCGAACGCCCTCGGCTTCCAGCGCATAATCGAAACTGAGACCAACGGTTATCTCGTCCGCCAGCACGTCTATAGCTCTCTCTACGACCGGATGAGCACTCGGCCGTTCCTCGAAGATATAGAGAAAAAGTGGCTTGCGTTTCAACTCCTATGCGCACTGCGCGACTGTCACGCCCGCGATATCTACCACGGCGATATCAAGGCTCAGAATATTCTCGTCACCTCTTGGAACTGGCTCTACCTTACCGATTTCTCGTCAGCATTTAAACCTGTTGTGCTCCCAGACGACAACCCAGGAGACTTTTCATACTTCTTCGATACTTCTGGCCGGCGAACATGTTACATTGCACCAGAGCGATTCTATGCTGCAGGCGAGGCCCCGCCTCAGAAGGCGCACATGACCTGGGCAATGGACATCTTCAGTGCCGGCTGTGTAATTGCTCAGATGTTTCTCGAGACCGAGATATTCAGCCTCGCCCAGCTGTACAAATATCGGAGAGGGGAGTATGATCCCATCATTACCCATCTGAGTGTCATCTCGGACAAGGACGTTCGGGAGATGATATCCCATATGATCCAGCTCGATCCAGAAAAGCGCTACTCTGCTGATCAGTACCTTGAATTTTGGAAAGACAAAGTCTTTCCGTCATACTTCTACAATTTCCTCCACCAGTATATGGAGCTCATCACCGACCCGTCATCTGGGAATAGTATGATGTCGAACGCGCAGAAGAACCTTGGAGAGTCGGACGACCGGATAGATCGTGTGTACTACGACTTTGACAAAATTTCTTACTTCCTCGGGTACCAAGACGGGAAGAGGAAGGCTGATACTCAACAACTTGGTCCAAGACTGGGGCTCAACCACTTCCCTGTTCGTTTGGGTATTCCTAATCACGAGTATTCTGTCTCGGCCGACCTGGAACCTCCTGAAGATGACGGGACTCTCCTATTCATCACATTGGTTGTATCATCAATGAGGACAACGGCGCGGGTCTCGTCTCGTATCCGAGCCTGTGATATCTTACTGGCTTTCTCGGAAAGGATCACCGATGAAGCAAAGCTTGACCGAGTGCTTCCTTATCTCATGACGCTTCTACACAAGGACGAAACGGATTTGGTGATGGTCACCGCTATAAGAACCATCACGCAGCTTTTACAACTCGTTAAAACCGTCACTCCTATTAATTCACACGTACTGGTGGAGTACGTCCTTCCCAGGATGGAGATTGCCTTGGGATCCAAATGGCAGATTTCGAGTCCCCTAGTAAGGGCCTCGTATGCTTCATGCATTGGAAGCCTCGCGACTACATCGAAGCGTTTTCTCGCAATGGCATCTAGTCTCAGGGCAGACGGCTCCATGCCTATGACTGACCCCGAAGTGGAGCCTGGCATGGATGCCGAGGCCAACTTTGAGGGAGTATTTGATAATGCCGGCAGGCAGTTGTACGAAATACTGGAGAGCCATACCAAGCAGCTCGTCGAGGACCCCGACGTTTATGTTCGGCGAGCATTCCTGGCTTCAGTCCCGGAGCTATGCGTTTTCTTTCAGGAGACTTCCAACGATGTGTTGTTGACTCATTTAATCACCTACCTAAACGATCGGGACTGGACACTGAAATGTGCGTTTTTTGACGCAATCGTTGGCATTGCAACCTTCGTTGGAAGCAAGAGTTTGGAAGAGTTCATGTTGCCACTCATGATTCAAGCTTTGACAGATACCGAAGAGTATGTGGTTCAGGCTGCGCTTCATTCCCTAGCGCAGCTGGCGGGCCTCGGGCTCTTATCCAGACCCAAGCTCTGGGAGCTCGTAGATCTTATCAGTAGGTTTACGATGCATCCGAACATCTGGATACGCGAATCGGCAGCAGAGTTCATTGCATTGTCAACAAAGTACTTGGACCCGGCCGATGTCCGGTGCATCTTGATGCCTGTGGTCAAGCCATATCTGAAAGTCGATCTTATCTGGGACTTCTCCGAGCTGAACTTGCTGGATTCCCTCAAGAGACCCATTTCGCGGCCCGTGTTTGACCAAGCAGTGACATGGGCTATGACCTCAGACAGAGGCATCTTCTGGAAAGCTGCCCAACAAGCCAGGTCCTTGCCTTTAAGACTCCTCGGCACAGGTTCATCCAAAGACCTCCTGGGCTCTGCAACTGGGAAAACAGCGCACAACGAAGAAGATGAGCAGTGGTTAATGAAGCTCAGGAATCTGGGCCTGAAGTCTGAAGACGAACCGAAACTGCTTGCGCTCCGACAATTCATCTACCGCCTGAGCAAGATTAAGAGCCGTGATGGCTTTGCTGGAAATAACGTCTCGCAAAATGGAATCGTGTCTTTGAAAGCTATTGGTGTCACGCCACAGACAGTGTTCTTTGATGAGACGCCACTTCGCGATCCACAAGCGTTTGCCGAGCTTGTATCGCAAACAGAGCCTTACACTATCGCTGATGCCTTATTAGACGCCTCGATGACTATTGATGATTTGGCGAGCAAAAGGAAACGAGCTTCGCTAAACAACCATAGACAAAGAGTTCAGAGCGTCGGCCCACGCCCAAGGCCATCATCTAGGGTATTGTCGCCTCTTGGTGCTGGACGATCAAGCTCGATGGACACTCGAGGATTGCAATATAATACTACAAGCCAGGGATCAAACGGAGACGGGGCTTCTACACCTGATTCTAGACGGGGAACTCGACTTCTATCAAACGCGCTCAGTCTTCTAGATCGGAAGGATAGCAATAAATCTATCCCGGAAACGGGCATGACTGCAACCGATGCCTTTGGAGAGGTTGAAGGGCCCTTCGCCCAAGGACAGCCCGCACAGTCACACACCGTGGAATCAAGAGAAGCTCCTCTTCCTGTAAAGAAGATATCCAAACACAGTTACGAGGGAACAGATCCCAACATCCAGAGAATGTTGGATAACATGTACCTCGATAACTTCCCACGCGACGTGGTTCAATTCGGGCCATTCGTACAGCCAATATCGCGAACGAAGGCAAACCAGGTCAATGCTCAACAAGGAGCTGGCCTTTGGAAGCCCGAAGGCAAGGTTGTGGCTACGTTCTCGGAGCATACGGGACCCATTGCTCGAGTTGTAGCTTCACCTGACCATTTGTTTTTCATCACCGGTGGTCATGATGGCGCCGTCAAGGTCTGGGACTCGGCGCGGTTGGAGCGTAATATATCCCATCGCTCTCGCCAGACGTACAAGCACGCAGAAGGCGCACGTATTGTAGCTTTGTGTTTCATTGAAAATACGCACTGTTTTGTCAGTTGCGCTTCGGATGGAGCCGTCCACGTGGTGAAGGTTGATACGGTACCCGCAGGTGGTGTCCTTAGATATGGAAAACTACGAATGCTACGGGAGTACCGACTCCCTAGCGAAGAATATGTCACATGGTGTGAGCACTTTAGACAGGATTCGAACTCGACTCTGCTCCTTGCGACGAATCGATCGAGAATTCTAGGTCTGGATCTTCGAACCATGTCACTCCTATATGTTCTCGAGAATCCCGTTCACCATGGGACGCCAACTTGCTTCTGCGTGGATAAGAAACGGAATTGGCTTTGCTTAGGAACTTCTCATGGTGTTGTTTCTCTATGGGATCTACGGTTTAGAATGAGGCTCAGGGCGTGGGGGGTTCCAGGGAAAGGACCCATCTACCGAATGTCTATTCACCCAACTAAAGGCCGAGGAAAGTGGGTTTGTGTGTCTGGAGGCACCGGACAAGGTGAGGTTACTGTTTGGGATCTGGAGCGCACAACATGCAGAGAAGTCTACCGTACTGGTAGCAGTAGCAAGGACGGGCCAGCAGTATATGAGGCCTGGGATGTCGATGACGACAAATCCGAAGGTATGCTGAGGCGATTTGCTACGAGCATTGAGAGCAACGAGGTCACCAACTCCGACAAAGGAGTTCGGACAATGGTTGTGGGTGTTGGCGCGAGCGAGGACTCGAGGGATATACGCCATGCCTACATCGTCACCGGTGGCTCTGATAGACGACTAAGATTTTGGAACATCCCTCGTTTGGAGAGTTCTTGCATATACAGTGGGCTCAGCCAGGATGAGCCGAAGCCGACATACACTACGACGAATCCCGCGGCGGGTGTGACCGTCACTACGGAGCGGTTTTCCAGAAACTCGTCGGCCGCTCCGAATTCCTCGAAGAATCACAAACCGTCGACGGCCGGACGACCGCCTAGGTCGACGGTCATATCTTCTCAGCAACAGCAACTCTTGCAGTCGCATCTGGATTTGATCCTGGATGTGGCTGTTTTGGAATACCCTTATACAATGAGTGTCTCGGTTGATCGATCTGGAGTTGTGTTTGTTTTTCAATAGATATTTGGAGTGATCGGATAGACTTGAATAATAGAGACCCTGCAGCTATTGCTACCTGGGTTGTTATTCTCTGAGTAGAGAAATGTGAAGCAAACGATTTATGGTCAGCGGACTTTTTAACTTAGAAATGATAAGTAAGTAATTCTTGAGTTTGCTCGTAAACACAAATGTTATGGTAGAGCTGAGGTCCTTCTTGATGAGGGCCTCTTGGGCCTTTCGAAGTGTGGCGCGGAAAACAGTGAGTGGCGCATGATTGCCCCACAAAAATTCTCAGATCCCAGAAGCTTGAAGCTTTCCGGTTTGAGGATGCAATTCATTGTCGAAGAAACAGCCAAGCCCGAGTATTTGTCCAGAGCTATATCAGTGAACCAAGGGCAACATTGATGCACCGAACGAATCGCCAACCCTAGAATTCCCGCCGAGACCCATCAATCAACCTACAACGAGGCGTCGCGTGCCCACGTGCAGCGATCGAGGTAACGACATCCCAAGATGAGGCTCACAACAGACCTTATTCGGGACTCCCTTTCCTACCTCAACCCACTGAAAGAGCGAGAGCTCGATCTCCGAGGTGCGTTTGAAAAGAGCAGATGCTACACTATTTGATCTTGTGCAGAGCAGAGTTGATCCAAATTCGTCTTTTGAACGTTAACAGGACACCGAATTCCCGCCATTGAGAATCTGGGTGTCGCCGGCGTGAGTATTCCTCCAGCTTCCGAGCAGAAACAAGACTTGGAATCGGGCCAATTCACCCTAGGATATCTTGCTGACTTCGACTTTTTGGCTAGGCTCACGACGCGATCGATTTCACCGACAATGATATCCAAGTGCTGGGGAACTTCCCACTCTCGCCGCGTATCTCGACGCTTCTGCTGGCACGCAACCGAGTGGTGACCATCCAGAACACGTTGGCCACGTCTATACCGAACCTGAAGAATCTAGTCTTGTCATCGAACAACTTGACAGAACTCGCGGACCTGGATCCTCTGGGCAAGTTTTCGCACTTGACGCATCTGGTTCTTGCAGATAATCCTGTTGCGAAGAAGGAGGTGAGTGCGCAATCCATTACTTAGGGCGGCATTTCTATGCCGTGCTATTTCCAAGTCCTTGTCTAATCTGGCGCGTTGAAGAATTATCGGTACTGGGTTCTTTGGCTATGCCCAACTGTACGATTCCTTGATTATGTCAAGGTAAAGCAAGCCGAGCGAGAGAGGGGGACCGAGCTCTATGGAACTCTAGAGGAACCGACACCACTAGCAGTCGAGGTATATTTCCCTAGTCTCTATCCCTTTTTGGCGCCACTTCTGACATATATATGCTGCACAGATCATGGGCCAGAAGTCTACCGCGACAGCCATTTCAGTAAACGGATCGGCGGCGCCTTCGAAACTGTCAAGGATGAAGCTCACGGACGCAGAGAAGAAGAGACTTCAGGAGAGGATTCGAAACGCTACAACCTTGGAGGAGATCACCGCTCTTTCCAAGGAGCTCAACGAGGGAAGGCTGCCCTCAGGTATTCAGGCCGATGCTATGGAAGAATAGATCAAGGAGCCTCGGAGTTTTATGTCATCACATTTTTTCCAGTACGGTATTAGGGGCGGAACAAGTACGAGGGACTTGGTTTACGGTTCTTTAGGACATGGTCGTTTTTGCATTGGCTTCTCAGAGTACATAACCACTTTGATACACGGGAGGTCCTCCTTTTTGGTCTAGACACTGGAAATGGAGTCGGCCAGTTGTGACAGTGGAGTTGGTTGGTGAATAATGAAGAAAAACTTAACGCCTGTGCACTATTCTCATGTCCTTTTGGAAGTATTACGCTGCAAGTTGATGACGAAGGTCCCATGACCATCCTATCCAGTCATTTGGACGTCCGCGTCATGTTTTGGCCCATGCGCTTGCCTCATTTCTAGCTCCAGTTGGTCGCTCGGGTTCCCATCAGCATTGGTGGCAGTCTTGTTAGCCGAAGGTGTCCCCGTCTTTCCATTGGGGCCATTGCCGTTTGTGGTGGCGGCCGGAGACTGGTTAGAGGCGGTGGCCTGGCTCTCATCGGTCTTGGTCTCACCACGCAGACGAGCCTGGGTTTCACTGGCTGCTGCCTTCACAGCCTTGTATGGCACGGTCTTTGGGACGACGTCCTCGAGAAACTCGAGGTGGTCCTGACGTGCTACTGCGTTGGCTTTGCGTGGCTGTTAGCACTTATCCTTCATGTGAGGTTAGGGGCTAACACGTACCAACATCCTTATATTGGATGTTTCGCCGGGGTTTACGCTCTAGTTTTGCTTGTGTATGCGACTCATCCGCAAGGTGCTGGATGAACATTTCCTGAAATTGTAGGTCAGCGATGTGAATCCCCTAGGGAGTGAGATGGACATGGGGAAGAACTTGCAGCAGCGCAGGTGATAATGAAAGCGGCATTGTTGGAGCACATGTTAATATCGGAGTCTTGTGAAATGATTTTTTTCACTCTTGATACTATGAAGAATAGTCTGGTCAATTACATGTTTGCCGCTGCGGTGAATGTCTGGGGGACTCACGAGGCAGCTGAGTTTGCCCAGTGGGCTCTTTTTTGGGAGGGATGGCAGTTGTGTTGTAAGGCATTTTGAAGGAGCTGTCTTAGTCGAGTTGTATTTAATTGGGAAAATGCTTGATATTCCAAGCTTTGAGCTGAGATGTATTGGACGCGTAGGAGGTCCTTGATACTTGAGCTGAGGCGAGAATGGCCGGTGTATAAAGTAAATGATGTCGAGGTCTATAGGCGTGCTACTTAACGCGTCTCTGAGCACTGTGGAGGATGGTGTGGCTGAGCCCAGCGCTGCATACGGTATGGGGCCTCCAGGGAACTTGACGCAGTGTTGCGCCACAGATCTGGCACAATCGATTACCATGACAGGATAATCTATTTACGGCTGGACAGCTTTCATAAGCTCCAAACTCTACAGCAACGAGGAGCAGCCCGCCGCTCATCGATTGAATCCGCGGAACCGAGTAACACGATATTGCAGGCATTGCGATCATGATCTGCCGGCCAGCATCATGACTTCCCAATCAGCGCCCCTCTCAGCCAGGGCCTACTTGGACAGCCGGCCCTCCTTCAGCCACCGTCTCTCGTCCGCTGTGAATCGCGCCGAATCGGGAGAACCTGAGGAAGGCCACAGACCGCCCGAAACACATTTGGAGGAGGAGATTGCAGAGATCAAGCGATATGAGGTAGGTGGTTATCATTGGCGCTTCCTTGTGGAACGATTAGTTATTGTATCTTAATCAGGTTACTGACAGGGAGCTAGGACTTCTCAACGATAGGTATGCATCGACGAACGAAGCCATCACACATAATCATCGCGTGAGGTACTGACAACAATGGGAAAGATTGGGTACAGGACGCAGCGAGAGAACAAGCCCGACGAAAGGTGCGACAAAGACAAAGCGCGGGACTCCGAGCGCGAGGCTCTGTGGGATGGAGGTATAAGTTATGGGAGCTCTACGACGCAGCACAAGGTTGGGTCGTGGTCACCTTGGTTGGGATAGCGATTGGTTTCAATGCAGCCCTCTTGAGTATCATTACAGAGTGGCTGTCCGACATCAAGTTGGGATACTGCTCCACTGCCTTCTATCTCAACGAGAACTTCTGTTGCTGGGGCGAGGAAAACGGTGAGTTCGGATAGCGTCGTCCGTCGGTGCATGTCGCTGATGTCTGTATTTCCTAGGATGCGAAGAGTGGAAGCACTGGACTGGTTTCGCGCCTTTCAACTACTTCATATATGTGATCTTTGGAGTAAGGATCCCGATTACAAACTGATGCGGACGCATGCACTAATTGCTACCGACATAGACTCTTTTTGCTTATGTTGCCTCTGTCCTGGTCAAATACTATGCGCCGTACGCCGCAGGCTCTGGTATTTCCGAGATCAAATGTATCATTGCTGGTTTCGTCATGAAGGGGTTCCTGGGAGGGTGGACGCTCATCATAAAGTCCATCTGCTTGCCCCTGGCCATTGCCTCTGGCCTGTCCGTCGGCAAGGAGGGACCAACTGTGCACTATGCTGTGTGCACAGGAAACGTCATCTCCCGTCTCTTTAGGAAATACCGTAGCAATGCTTCCAAGACTCGGGAAATCCTGAGCGCAAGTGCTGCCGCCGGCGTTGCCGTTGCTTTTGGTAGCCCAATCGGAGGCGTGTTGTTCTCTCTCGAAGAGATGTCCAACTATTTCCCCCTCAAAACCATGTGGCGAAGCTACTTTTGCGCCCTGGTTGCGACGGCAGCTCTATCGACTATGAACCCCTTCCGCACCGGTCAATTGGTCATGTTCCAGGTCCAATACGATCGAGACTGGCACTTCTTCGAGATTGTGTTTTATATCGTTCTCGGAATATTTGGCGGATTATACGGAGCCTTCGTCATGAAATGGAATCTCCGTGTGCAGTCCTTCCGAAAGAAATACCTAAAGGAATTCGCTGTGGGTGAGGCAACGTTGCTTACTTTGGGCACGGCAATTATTGCGTACCCAAACGCCTTCCTTCGAATCGACATGACCGAGGGCATGGAGATCTTGTTCTTGGAGTGTGAAGGTACTAAGGACTATGCAGGCCTTTGCGACGCTGATAAGCGACTCAAAAACATCGTGCTGTTGGTTCTGGCCACTGTGATTCGAGTTTTTCTCATCATCATTTGCTATGGATGCAAGGTGCCTGCAGGAATCTTCGTGCCCTCCATGGCCGTTGGCGCATCTTTTGGCCGTCTTGTCGGAATTATTGTCCAGGCCATTCACGAAGCCCATCCAACCAGTGCGTTTTTCGCAGCGTGCAAACCTGACGAGCCTTGCATCACGCCAGGTACATATGCATTCCTAGGGGCTGCTGCAGCTCTGAGTGGCATCATGCACATCACAGTGACTGTGGTTGTCATCATGTTCGAGCTGACCGGTGCCCTCACCTACATCTTACCCACAATGATCGTTGTGGGTGTCACAAAGATTGTTGGAGAAATGTTTGGCAAGGGCGGCATCGCAGACCGGATGATCTGGTTTAGCGGGTTCCCCTTTTTAGACAACAAGGAAGAACACAACTTTGGTGTGTCCGTGTCACAGGCCATGCGAACGGAGGTCGTGTCTCTGCCGGTTCATGGGTTAACCGTACGTGAAGTCGAGCAAATCCTTGGTGATGAAACCTACCAGGGCTTTCCCATTGTCGAGGACAGGGAATCACGCATCCTTGTCGGGTTCATTGGGCGCACCGAACTTCGTTATGCAATCGACAAAGTTCGGCGTGAAAGGACTATCAGCCCTGACGCGAAGTGCGTGTTTACACCACCGCCTGAGACCTTGGGTGTACCTCTTGTATCTACGGTGACGGTTAATGTCGAATCGATGTCGACGACTCTGGAATTTAGCAGATACATCGATGCTACGCCGGTCACTGTCCATCCTCGTTTGCCGTTGGAAACAGTGATGGAACTGTTCCGCAAGATCGGCCCCCGTGTCATCCTCATCGAGTACCATGGCAAGCTAACAGGCCTGGTCACGGTGAAAGATTGCCTCAAGTATCAGTTCCAGGCCGAGGCGGCGGAGAATCCTAAGGAAGATCACCACATCCTCGAGAGCCAGGAACAGTTATGGGTCTTGTTCAAACGCGTCGGCTATTGGGTATCGGAGAAGGTCGAAAATATGTCGGGCGGGAGGATCAAGCTGGCGGGAGACTGGCAGGGCTCGCGCCCTGTACGGAACTCACATATTCTGGACGGAGATGAGGATGAGATAGACGAAGGATTGGAGATGGAACCCCGTCGTTAACGAAGCAATTTAGTACACATTAGATCGTCCACACAGACTGTGGATATGTTTGTTTTTACCAGGGATTGTAAAATACATTTTGGGTCAAATCCTTATATATTCTTGCAATCTATGTTACTGACCGGCGTGAAACTACCTTTGGGGGTATATACAACAAGGTACTTTGTAGTGCAGCAGTGACACGCCACGCATCGCCAAACTCTATTGGTCAAAATAAGGTTTTCGTGCTTCCATCTCTAAAAACCGCATCGAGACACAATCTAATCACGACCTGCGTTGGTTGTTTATCTCACCCAGATCAACGACGTCTTCATCTACAACCTCATCCTTGTAGATACCAGGAGGCGCGGTGTCTTCTTCAGGCTCCGACTGCCCCTCTTCTTGTTGGACTAGGATTTCATTCTCCGCGGCGCCATCTGCATCCTTTGTCTCGTCCTTACGGCCGATGATGACATTCCCGGCCACGAGGAGAGCTGCGCCGGCCCACCACATTGGCGGCAATGACTCTGAAAAGATGATGAGGCCGAGGAAGGCAGTGAGCATGAAGTTGGTGGAGGTGTTCATGATGGACACTTGAGTGGTTGATGTGCCTCGAGCCAAGGCGGTGGTGAAGAGAGACCACATCTGAGAGATTGTGAGATGTCATACACTACACTTGGAGGGGAAATGACGATGGTGGGGGAAGACTTACGACGCCATTGAAAGTCAAGTTGAGTGCGAAGAATATCTGAGATTAGTTGGTGAGCAAGGGAATGCTTTCCTCCTGGTAGCGCTTTGGCTTGGGGAACACTTGGGTTTACTGACTCCTCGAACGGCAATCTCTACGATTCTCTCTGCTGAGGAGAGGCCAAGCCCGCTGGCGATTGCATTCGACAGCTTGGTCGTCAGCTCGGTTGTTGTTCTATCATCAAATATTCATCAGCACATGATGGCTCACGAGGACCCCGAGCGAGCATTTTCTTGGATTTTCACAACACAGGGAGGGAAATAGAAGGCGAATCAACGCCCATGAGGATTGGGGGAGAGCATACAGCTTGGCAAATACACCGTTGAAGGCGGCACAGGCACCACTGGCAACGGCGAAGAACATCCACTGGCTGCGCACGCTCCAGGAAGCGATGCCGCCGCCCGTCCGGTTGTCTGATCTGGCCATTTCGGTAGGAGGAGGATGAGCCTGATCCTTAGATGGCTGAGGACGACGTTGACGAAGCATGGCTCCTGATTCCCTGGCGGTTGCGATCCCCTGTGTCATGTGGGAGGACTGGGCGGGTGGGACTGATTAATGGATACCGAGAGCCAAGCCGAGTCAGTGGCAGGTGGCTGAGTTACGTAGACAGACCCCTGTTTTGGCGGGCGATAACGTCGATCCAACCCACGTGTATAAATGAGCGAACAATGAGGTGCGTTGCGGGCGATTGAATGGTGTTCGTCGGAAATGGTGATGGTGACATGCAATATATAAGAAAAGGTTTAGAATTTGCCTTGAGCACCAATTTTTGGTAAGTACTTCGGGAAGGATGAGGCGATAACCTTAAATTTGCACGGGAACTCGCAGCAAGCAGGCAATAGCATATAATAACGTTAAAACTATCAGGTATATTTCTTTCCAGTCTTTGATAGTAAGTAATCTCTCTCTGCATAATCCCAGACAGTGTAGATGTGTGTTTCATTGTCCCAGCGCATTGAACTGCGAACCCAATAATTAATTACCAAAACGCCTTTAATCATGCAATCGGGCTCTGGTTTAAACCCGTCTCATATTTAAGAAAGAAAAAGAAGAAAATCGTCGTCTTGAAAAAGCACTTCCCAGTATCATCATTTGCAAATTTCAAGGGCCCTCGCCAGGCTTCTTGGCGTTGCAGCTCACGATCTTCACCTTGTCGGCGACTACAGGCGGAGTGCCGTTGTCCATCTTGAAGGTCACGTTCTTGATCAAAAAGGTCCAGACTTCGTCGCAGAACCGGTAGGTGTCAAGGCTTCCCTGTTATTGCGAAAAACCATCATTAGCCCTTGGCCGCGCAAGCTCCGTGTGCTGCCAACAACACCGGGGGGTAGCGTCCCACCTTGAATGACAACCGGCACTTGACGTTCTTCTGCAGCGCCTCGGTGATGGCCTGGTCAAAGTTGCTCAGGATCTTCATCGCCAACTGGGGGTTGATGCGCTCATCGCTGATGAGGTCGTCGAGCGTGTCCGTCAGAGCAAGGCCGATGCTGTGTCAGGGGGGAAGCAGTGGTTAGTCAACGCAAGGGATCAAGACAGTAGCACAGCGCTTAGCAATGGCAGTAAGAGGAAAAGCAGTACCTGCTCCGGCGGTACAGCTCGTAAAATGATTGCCCGCCAGTCGCCATGTTTTCTTGCAAGGTCCTTTCACGTCTGCAGTGATTTTCGGTACCGTAGGAGAGCAAAAACGGGATGCTCGTGGGGAGTGATATGTAGGAGTCAAGATGAGAATCCAATTTATACTTCCGGGGAAGGGAGAAGGCAGCCTTGGCCAGAGCCTTAGGTAATCAGCTGGCCCCACTCGTCGCTTGGCCTCTCAAGCCACAGTGCACAGCCTTAGGCGGGCAAAGGTGCGTGCCTGCGTCTTAGCGCGCTGTCATGTGACGTCGCTCAGTGCTGCAGCGGAAGAGCCGTAATTAGTACGTACCCCAACTGAACTACGTCGCTAAGTTTAGGTAGCAGCTTGAAGGAAGGTCAGACAGAGTTGGTCAATCGATCGTTGCGCCCACCCAAGGAGCTACGAATAGCTTCCTCAACCCACTACCTACGAAGCATCCGAATCGACTCAGCACCGTCACATTCGTCAAAATGAGCCTCACATACGGAGTCGGCGGCCTCGGGTCCTTTGTGACCATTGTTGGAGCTTGTACGTCCCCTCGAAAGATCGCGCTCAGGGATGGAGGAAGATGACGGGAAGGACAGGACCAAGTTAACACAGCGTCACAGATATGCTCTTTACTGGCAGCGGCGAGGATTTCAATGTCGGCGCGTTCCTGGAGTCGGTGTCGCCCTACACCTGGGCTAGTATGGGTATCGCCTTGTGTATTGGCTTCTCGGTTGTTGGAGCCGCATGGTGAGCATCATTGCCTGCGATCCCATCGAAACCTTCCGCATCCCCTGCTGACCGACGTCTCTCTAGGGGAATTTTCATCACCGGATCGTCCATTCTCGGCGGTGGTGTCAAAGCTCCTCGTATCCGAACCAAGAACTTGATTTCCATCATCTTCTGCGAAGTCGTCGCCATCTACGGTGTCATCATGGCCATTGTCTTTTCCGCGCAGGTCAACAGCGCGACCGGCGCTGCGCTCTACGAAGCCGATTCATACTACACTGGTTTTGCTCTGTTTTGGTCTGGAATCACCGTCGGTCTTTGCAACCTGATTTGCGGTGTCGCTGTTGGTATCAATGGCAGCGGCGCAGCACTTGCAGATGCTGCTGACCCGTCTCTGTACGTAGCAGCAACTCACCTAACAAACCCTAGTCCCCAATGCTAACGCTGCAATTACTCGAATAGCTTCGTCAAGATCCTCGTCATTGAGATTTTCTCCTCTATCCTGGGTCTGTTTGGACTAATCATCGGTCTTCTTGTCTCGGGTAAGACTACAGGATTCGGCAAATAATCGAACCCCTCATCCACCTTCAAGACAATATCCCGATTACCACGGGACAAGATAGATACTACTCGCGCCTTTCCTGTGTGAGAAGGCTTTTGCATCGCGCCAATGAGTATTTGGACAGGCGTTTAGGGGATAGGCTTGGCTTAGGGTATTTCTTACTACCGCAGGCTGTATTGTCGTCAATTCTCGGAAATCGACGTGTACATCATCAGAAGAAAGAAAGTGTGTTTTGCAGCTTAAAATATCATACCATGGTATTGAAATTGTATCAGTTGGGAAGAATCTGTATCCTGGACGTTCGTTGTGCTTAGACTAGATGATTTGAATCGCGTCAATATGTTGTTCATTAGATTCTCATCTCGTTCACTTTCCAATTGAACCCAAGCGAATTGAGCTCATAATCAAAGCTTCGACATTTGCGCCCTTTTCCACTTTTCCTTTACCACCTGGCAAACAGACCAGCGCATTTGCAGACCTGAGGCTGCCGACCTTGGAACTTCGCTGACCACCAGTACTACTGGCAGACAGAACACCATAACTCCCAACCGTTACAATAGCCCGATGGTACTCCGGTCGGGAATCGAGTGGGAACTCGTGAGCGAGAACGACGGGAACCTTGGGTAGACCGACGGGGAAAACACCCGACTGTTTGTGTAAGGAGGGAAGAACGAAAAGATGAAACGTCACTAGAGCTGAGGCCGGGTTCCCAGGAAGAGAGAAGATGACCTTGGAGACTCGTTCACCAGCGTTGGTTTTGACTGGCACTGTGGCAAAAGTCGTCGGTTTGCCGGGCTTCATGGCTACACGACCAAAATGAATGGTGCCCCCAAGAGCTCGCTCAATTGTCGGCTTGAGCAGGTCAAGCTCTCCCATGGAAACCCCGCCAGTAGTGATGAGCACATCAGCTCTCCGAAGACCATCCCGAAGATTCTCCTCGAGTGTTCCCGATTGATCTTTCGCAATGCCCAGGTCGACAACCTCGAAACCCCATTCTTTTGCTGCAGATATGAGAGTAATCCGGTTGGTATCTCGGACTTCTCCCAATCTGAGTTCCTCGGGGCGGTTGTACTCGATGATCTCGTCCCCAGTTGAAAGAATACCGATTACAGGCTTCTTGAAGACTTTGATCTCCACAACTCCCACGGCGGCGAGGAGGCCTATCTCACCACCTACCCCCGATATCTGCTCCCCTTTTTGGAGAATAACGGAGCCTTGTTCAATGTCACTACCAATTTCACGGATATTCTCGCCGTTCTTGACGCCTTCGATGTTGATTTCCACTTCTTTCTCCTCCTTCCCATCGTCAGTCATGGTCTTTAGGATTGTGTCCTCTACCATTATGACAGATGTAGCCCCCGGAGGCAGCGGTGCGCCCGTAGTGATCCTGGCAAGTTCCCCAGCCTTCAGGGGCTTGACTTCTCCAGGGCTTGCGTGGGAAACTGACACTACGGGGAACGTCCCATGGAGCACTCCATCCTCGGGGACGACAACAGCATACCCATCTACAATGCTGGCCCTGAAAGCAGGGACGTTCTCGCGAGCCTTGACATCTTCAGCCAAGACGGACCCTACGATCTTTTCATCCACTTTGATGGTCAGAATTTCGGGATCGGGTGATTCTTGCGATATTCTAGCGAGAGCATCGTCAACAGAAAACATGGGATACGGGGACTCGCGGTGCCGTCGAGTAGGACCAAGGCTCGGATCATTAGACAGAAGATTTTGATCAGGTTTTGTATGTCTGACAAGGCCGCCGTGTCCATGGCCGTGGCTGTGACTATGGTCATGACTGTGGCCATGACCATGGTGATGGTGGTGGCCTGGCTTTGCGCCAGCCAGACCAGCGTCCGCCTCGAGCTTTTTCACACCCCCCGCGTGCAAGACACGGGAGTTGGCGCCGGCCGCTTGCAGACAAGCATGGGGAAGAGTCTTTATCACCGCTTCCAAATTTTCCTTGGCTCCTTTCGGGGAGCCTGGCAGTGTGATAATCACAGACTTGTTCCTGACTCCAGCGACAGGTCTAGACATCATGGCGACTGGGTAAGGAGAAGGCGTTCAGCATCCCGGGTGATTACTCATTGATGGACGGTTCACATTATAGACTTACAAGGTGTGACTGCCAGAGATGCGGAAACCATGGCATGGACAAGGCCTGGAGCTTGCTTGTGAAGCAGCGGGGTCACGGCCTATATAAGTCATATTAGAGCCCAATTCAAACGAATAGTCACAGTAAACAAGAGGCCAAGCTGGAGAAAGAAAAGTTGTTTACTTCTGGAGTAACATCTGCTACAGAGAAACCTGTCCCGCCGGTGGTGATGATGAGATTTGCTGCTCCTGGCCCATCGGCTAGAGCCATGAGTTGGCGCTGGATAGCAGAAACGTCATCAGTGACAATGGTGGTGTTGTCAACGATCCATTTCCCAGATCCTTGGCCCTCGATCACTCCCTGCAGAGCTTGGGCCGATGAATCCGTTGACGGATCTTCTGCCGCAGTCGTCGAAACGATGAGGATGGCGACCTTCAATGGCCCGTCCATGATTTTTGGATTGATGCCAAAAGAAGGTTCATCACAGCCTGAGGCGGATGGGAATAGCCTGTAGATGATCGAGGTCTATAGTTGGCAGGCCCCACAGCGACCTGTATCGGGCAAGCTACTGGATCAATGGGTAAATATTTCTTTCCATCAATCTCCCCAATCTCAGGATTCCACGTACGCGATTATACTCACTCACACACATAATTACAAGTCATCATGGTCCGAGTGAAGGAGCGTTACCTTCTAGTCAACATCATTTATCCCCCCGCCGATGGATCTCGCGTTGGCAATTCGACCACGCCAAATCTTGTCGTGCAGCACCAACCAACCACTGAGAATCTCACTCCAGGCATACTGGTCAGAGCTCTCAAATCACAAGTCGCCTCATTATTTGGAGACTACGGCGCAGGTTGTCTCGAGAGCGATCTGTCAGGTAGGCGGACACACTCCTCCAGGCCCTGGGCTCTTTTGATTTTTAAGCTTACCCGATATCATAGTTAAATATCTTTCTCTTGCTACTTCTACGGTCATCATAAGATGCTCTAGAGACCACTATCAAATGCTCTGGTCAGCCTTGACCTTTATGGATCGCGTTCCGACCAAGGATGGGAGTGGGAGACCTTGCATTTTTCGCGTTGTGCGTGTCAGCGGCACTATTCGCAAGGCAGAGGAAGAAGCCATCCGCCAGGCCAAACAACGACTCAATGAGGCCAAAGAAGCTACCTCACAAATACCTTCCTCACTGGAACCTAAAGAATCAAGTCGGCCAGAGGCAGTTCTTGACGTTATGCGTGATTCGGATGACGAGTCGATGCACGACGTTGATGACTGAGGGAAAGGGGTATCATTTGTTCTTTCTAACTATCTTGATCCCGCTATCTGCAGGCACCGCCATATCTCCGAAATCCGGGTCCATCCCTGCGCTGCTGGGAGCCGCTGGCTGAGATTGCTCGATTTCCATGGCCTGCTGCTGCCGAATCTTTTCTTGCTCCTCCTCGGCCTCATCCTCCATGCGGTCATAGTCCTCCTTGTTATCAATCCAGCGTTCCTGGATGTCCTCTGCACCCATCATGGACGACTCGTTCCTCATGGACACGGCCCAGATCGTGTCGTTGGCTCCCTCTGCGCCACCAAAGACGTAGCCGCCCGCGCGGTCAATCACGCGGAGGAGATGCATCATGCTCTTCTTATTCTCAACGGCCAGGACTTCGTATCGTACCAGACCATAGCTCTCGATCAGGTTGGCGATGGCTTCATTGAGGCGGCCAAACTTCTCACTGCGCAGAGCAGGAGATTCGGCTTCCAAGTACGGTGTGAGATAGCCTAGGTCTTCGACGTCGGTGTAGTAGTCGAGATTGAAGGGTAGTTCGTCATATGCGTGGACTTTGTCGATCTTGGACAAAACATTGACGTGGGGCATGTCCATTTGGATCATGGCTCGGAGGGAGAGTAGGACGTTCGAAACGTAGAGCGAGGGTTGTGTGAGGCAGATGGAATCTGAGAGGTGGACGCTCACAAACTAAAGTGCTATGGTTAGCAATTGGTTTCAAGCATGTACGTTTAGCGACGATGGGGAAACAACGAACCCTGAAACCATTCTTCTGGAGCTTATAGAAGATATTCCTCAAAGAGTTATGATGTGTGTATAGTTCCACCTGGCCGGGACAGTCAAAAAGAATATAGTCTTCTCCAAACTCTTTCAAGCCTTCCTCAAGCCATTCATAGTTATGTTCCAGCTCCTCGAGGGCGTATAGAATTCCTCCATTCGGCCCAAGCTTATCTTCCCGCATGATGTCCTCGAGCTTGATGAGCGACCGAATATCGAGCGCCACGGGGTAGTTGGTGTGATCATTGGCTGGGTCGAGGTTCACGACGGAACATGCGCGCCCGATGGCGCCCATGAACTGGTGCACTATGTGAAAAGAAGTCTGATTAGCGCCCGGTTTCAAGATCTGGAAGCTCTTGAACTTACTGCCATCGCAATAGGTACTCTTGCCAGAGCCAGGGCTGCCAACGACGAGCTGTGCGAACGGCATCGAATCTGGTTGGAGTGAGGTCGCCTACAGGCAAAGCTTCTCAGGGGCGCATGACAGAGAGATCGAGCATCTGATGGGACAGAGGCAAGAGTGAACTTAACGTGGGAAAATACAACACGGTGAGAGCATAGCAGTCAAAAAGTTAGTATTTCTTTCATGTTCGTCCTATGGTTCATGGTGGGGTTATCACTATCGCTGACAAAGCTATCGCTCTCTACCGCCTTCACACCCTGCCCTGCGACTTCTTTAGCTTCTGCGTGATGATCTTTAACCAACAGAGAAAAGTCATTGAAATCATACGCTATTAAGCTAGAGCTCGCACAGTAAGCTATGCAAACTAGCACCTTAGCCACATCGAGGAATTGACTTGTTTCCAGCATATGACCTGCCGATTCTACCGAGGCTGCGTGACCTTGAATCCTGATCATCTGCTATCTCTACCGCATGTTTCGGTGGGACCCGACGGTGAGACATGAGCAATACCGGTGCATGATTGGCCAGCGGCGACACCTCGGTAAATAAGTCAGCTTCTCAACCTCAAATAGCTTGATTTAAAGGTCCCGCTTCTTCTTCCACCAAGGAAAAAAACCAAAGTCCTCGGAAGCCAGCCTCGAGCTTCGTCGCTCTTTTTGTGCATAATGCTCCGTCATTCACTGGAGTGGCCATGGCATCAGAAAATGCCACACAGATGGCAGCCTCTCTCTCCAGCAGCGTCTCCCACGCGTTGGCCTCGCCCAGCATGAGTGCCCTCGCAAACCAGACAGCCGCCCAAGAGTCCACCAGCTGGCTGGGCTTATTTGGGCGGCTTATTCTGTCGCTTTTGAACCTGATCACCACTATTCTGTACTGGGTCATTCGGATTGCCACGATTAGCGTGCCCACCATCCTTTTCACCTTGTTTTCCACCAGCTGGACGGTCACCATGAATGCAACCACTCTGTATGTCGGTCCACCCGAATCAGAAGGTAGCTCACTGACAATGAGTCCAGGATGTTCATTCTGGCGGGCATCGTTTCCGCGGTGAGCTGGGTTGTGCGCTACCGCATCCTCAACATGTACTCGCGACTGCCACCAGAGCCCCAGCGCAAAGAGCCCGATATCGACCTGTTCCCGGATACCCATGACGAGGGAATTAAGTCGGGCCTCTCGAGCTATCTGGATGAGTTTTTGAGCGCAATCAAGATATTTGGTTACCTCGAGCGTCCTGTCTTCCATGAGCTCACTCGGAGCATGCAGACTCGAAAACTTATAGCTGGCGAGACCATCAACCTCGAGGAAGAGAAAGGCTTCTGCATTGTTGTTGATGGGCTGGTTCAAATTTTTGTCAAATCGGGCTTGGATCCAAGGGCCAATGCTGCCGACCATGGTGATGGTTACGAGGACGATGATATGAATCCAGGGCACCAAAGATACCAGCTCTTGACAGAGGTGCGAAATGGTGCCCCGATGTCGTCACTGTTTTCCATTATGTCGCTCTTCACTGAAGATGTCAAACTGGATCACGTTGATGAGCAATCGCATCCATCATCCAGGCGGCATAGCAGAAGGAACCTCAGTTTTCACAAGACATTTAGCATGCAGGGATCTCCAGACGTCACTTCCTCAATGCCTACCAGCCCCAAGCTTGGATCTGGAACAGGAAATCAAGGTCCCCCTCCGGATCATGAGATGAGGCACCGGACTACACCAGACCCCAACTCGTCGAGAATTCCGCATATGTCCTTGGACGGGGCTACACCCCCAAACCGTCCGAGGTTGTTTCACAAAACAACTTCCGGTTCAGCTCACCCTGATATCATTGCGCGAGCCACAGTCGACACAACTATTGCCATCATCCCAGCAAGCGCCTTCCGTCGATTGATTAAAGTCTACCCCAAGGCGACATCGCACATTGTTCATGTTATTCTTTCTCGCTTCCAAAGAGTAACATTGTCACATGCGTTCAACTACTTGGGTCTGACTGGCGAGGTGTTGCAGACTGAAAAGAACATGATTAAGCATACCGTTTGTCAGCTCCCCAATGTCCTTCGAGGTGATGCTCTCTCGAGGCTGAAGGAAAAATTCAGCCAAGAGCGCGAGAAGAGCAATGACGATGATCGAGCAAAAGGAATTGCGCTCCACAATCCAGTAACGCCTCGCCGTCGGCGGTCTAGTAGCGGTGCTCTCCGCAAAGAGGCGATGCTGCACTCCATGAACATGAGTTCTGCATCTCCTATGACGGATAAACATAGATGGGCCGCCCCACCTACCCCGAGGCCTGGCGACCTGCTGGGGAGCATCCAAGTAGCCCGGGGATTCAACAAGAGCTCTTTCTCTGATCTACGAGGTAGTCCATTGATAGACGGCAGCAGAAAAGATGACGTCAACCCGCTGTCGAAACGCACCTACAACCCATTCAATCCTCAAAAGGGTCGTATCAACATGGATCCTCGCGAGTCGCTGGATGAGGACAACCTGTTTAGAGCATCGATATTAGAGTGCATGTTCAAGGCTCTTGGCCTACACAACAGCGGCCCTTTCTCTCATGAATCCGAGTCGATAGAGGCATCACCAAGATTGGTGGCTATGGACACAAAGCGTACGAGGGCACTGTTTTCAAACAATGCCTTTGGCATCATGGGTCCTTTTGATGGCCCTGGCGACGGTGACTCGGAGTCCGTTACCTCTAGTGGCATAGCGATGAACTCACCGCCCAGTCCTCAGAGCTTGTCCGATGACATGAAACACGAAGTTGAGATCGTCTTCTTCCCGAAGGGCTCTGTGCTTGTGGAACAAGGCGAGCGTAATCCCGGTCTCTACTATGTTGTCGATGGATTTCTTGATATTGGTACAACGAGCACGAGCGATCCTCACAATCTCTTTCCTACGCCGGAATCGGATTTTGTGGGTGTCGATAATGATGATGAGCCATCGATACTGGAATCGTTCCCAACCCTGGCTCGGACCGAAACTGCCCGCGAGAAGGACGAGTTCCAGAAACACTCCGGAACACATCGCAGAAGCGTGGCTTTGGTCAAGCCAGGTGGTTTAGCTGGGTATATCGGGAGCGTCTCTTCGTACAGATCTTTCATTGATGTGGTTGCTAAAACTGACGTCTACGTCGGATTTTTACCTCGTGCTTCTCTGGAACGCATCGTGGACAAGTATCCCATCATTCTACTCACCATGGCCAAGAGATTAACCAACATTCTCCCAAGACTGATCTTGCACATTGACTTTGCCTTGGAATGGGTTCAGGTCAACGCAGGGCAAGTCATATACCACAACAACGATGAGAGCGATGCTATCTACGTTGTTCTTAACGGTCGGCTGCGGCTAGTTGAACAAAAGAAGGGAGGTGCGATTAGTGCCCGTGCTGAATTTGGTCAAGGCGAGAGTGTTGGAGAGCTCGAAGTCTTGACGGAAACTGCTCGTGCTGGGACCTTGCACGCCATCAGAGACACTGAGCTTGTCAAGTTTCCGAAGACACTCTTCAACAGCTTAGCCCAAGAACACCCCAATATCACAATCAAGATATCCAAAATCATCGCTTCTCGCATGAGGGCGGTTCTCGAGGATCCTACAAGCTACCAGGGCATAGAAACAACCGCTGGTGCAGTTGCAAACCAGCGCAAGTCTGCGATGAATCTCCGGACTGTTGCCATCTTGCCTGTCACAGCCGGTGTTCCCGTTGTTGAGTTTGGCAACCGATTACTGAATGCACTTGCGCAAGTCGGCCCGCCCAATGGTGCTACATCCCTCCACCAGACAGCGATTCTTAAGCACCTTGGAAAACATGCCTTCAACAAGATGGGAAAGTTGAGACTGTCTCAGTATCTCGCGGATCTCGAAGAGAAGTTTGGTCTCGTGGTGTATATTGCAGGTAAGCATGAACTTGTTCATTTTGCTTTGAGTAAATTTCTTCATCCATTACCTCGATTTTATGATGATACAACTCCTATGTCCAAAGGCAAAGCCGCTGATGGTACATGTTAACTCTAATTTTTTCCTGATCCTATTTCCAAACGATCCCCTATGTTGTGCTGCATTCTTAGGAAGAATATCATGCTAACGCCGAGGGAATGATACAGATACCAACGTTAACTCACCTTGGACTCAAACATGCATTTCCCAAGCTGATAGCATTCTACTTGTCGGTGTGGCCGAAGGATCACCTGCCATCGGGGAGTACGAACGCTTCATGCTAGGAATGAAGTCGACAGCCCGAAAGACGCTTGTCCTTCTCCACACGGAACGTCTATCTCCACCAGGACTAACAAGAGCTTGGCTTCGAAATCGAATGTGGATCAATGGAGGTCATTTCCATATTCAAATGGCTTTTCGAATGAATCCTATCCCAGTTCACCCACCGTCAAAGAAACTCGGCCAGGCTTTGAAGGAGCGGGTTCAGGTTCTGCAAGCAGAAATTCAGAAGTACACGTCGACGAAAAAGGTTCATCACACCCCGTACTACTCACCTGAAACCCCCTACAAGGGAGATTTCCATCGGCTCGCTCGACGTCTGTGTGGCAAGTCTATTGGCCTTGTTCTAGGCGGAGGCGGAGCACGAGGTATCAGTCAAATCGGTATTATCAAGGCTCTTGAAGAGGCTGGTATCCCGATAGACATGGTTGGGGGGACATCCATCGGTGCTTTTGTAGGTGCTCTCTATGCACGGCATGCAGACATAGTTCCCATGTTTGGTTTCGCGAAGAGATTCGCTGGCCGCATGGCAAGTCTGTGGCGATTTGCCTTGGACTTGACGTATCCTTCTGCCTCGTACACTACAGGGCATGAGTTCAACAGAGGTATCTTCAAAGCTTTTGGAGATACCCAGATTGAGGACTTTTGGCTGGAGTACTACTGCAATACAACAAACATCAGCAAAAGTCGAGCCGAGTTCCACACCAGCGGCTACGCATGGAGGTATATCAGAGCTTCCATGTCTCTGGCTGGATTACTACCTCCACTGAGTGACGAGGGTAGTATGTTACTCGATGGAGGGTACGTGGACAATCTAACAGTGTCTCACATGAAGGGTCTTGGCGTAGATATTATCTTCGCCATTGACGTCGGTGCTCTGGATGACGACACACCTCAGACATACGGCGATTCGTTGTCCGGGGTGTGGGCATTCTTCAATCGGTGGAATCCTTTCTCGCCGCATCCAAATCCACCTACCTTGGCAGAAATCCAAGCACGGCTGGCTTATGTCTCGAGTGTGGATGCTCTTGAACGCGCCAAGATCATGCCAGGATGCGTGTACATGCGACCGCCAATTGATGAGTATGGTACACTTGATTTTGGCAAGTTTGATGAGATCTACAATCTAGGGTATAAATATGGTCAGGAATTCATCCAGAAGATGAGGGATAAGAAAGCTCTCCCCATGTTGGAAGAGGCCGAGGCAAAGGAAGCTATGCGGAGAACTACTGCTCCACGAAGAGCGAGCATATAATGCTTGGGGCAGTATGCAATGTAGTCAACCAAGAAGCAGAGCAGAGATACCTAGATAATGTCGACATCATTATTTCACGAAGCATCATCCCACCCGTCTTGGCAGCAGCCCTGCAGGCCAATCAGACTCAACTTGACGCCGAGACGCTCCACTGTCTTGACCGCTCCATTTGCCAAGATCAACCCTTCCAAGGACCCTGCGAAGGATTAAGCTTATGTACGAGTCTATTTCCGTAAAACATTGGCTGCTAGCTGCATCTGCCATGATCCATGGTTAAGCGAACGAAACCTGCCACGTACGTCTATGCATTACGTGAGCTATCTGTCCATGGTTCTTTTAAATCCTGTGCCGTCCGTTCCACCATGGGTCGTACAATGGAGGCATTATAGATATAAATCTCATGCATATCATACGAGTGGAGCAGAGCACTCTCACCAGCCATTCCCCTTTTCCTTTTCATGACCAACTACCCCATATCAGAATAGAGTGCGCTTCTACGTAGGCATATCAAATCGACACACATTACTGTGATCGCCAAGTCTGCGTCCCAGCAACGAATAATATAGATTGGTACCAGGAATACGGCATGCTCGACTGACAAGAATGTCTTCGGACCATGACCTGAGCTTGCCTCCACGTCGACACCATGATTTAAGCCTGGCTACGCATCGACAACTCGATTCAGACTTGGAACCACGTCAACAGCATGATCCAGCTTTGGAATTCGGCCCAAAAGATGAAGTAGACCCGGATACACGCCAGGAATACGAACTGGGTCCAAGTTCCCATGGGCAATATGATCCAAGCCTGGATTCACGTCGACGGTATGATCTCGACCTGGAACCGCGTCGACCGTACAATTCAGACCTAGACCCACGGCAAGAGTATGGAATTGAGCCAGCCTCTCGCAGAGAATATGAACTAGACCCTGGCTCTCGTCGAGAAAGTCAACTGGACACTGCTTCGCGTCGGCGACATGACCTGGACTTAGATTCACGTCAAGGGTATGATTCAGATCTAGACCCACGGCGACGATATACGTTGGACCTGGATTCACGACGACATTATGACTTGGACTTGGACTCACGACGACAGTATGACATGGACCTAGATTCACGCCGGCAATATGATCTAGACCTGCCTCGACGCCGACAGTATGATCCCCGTCGCCGTCATCCTTCTTCTTCCCCCTCTTCTTCCTCTTCCCGCCGTGGCCGCCACGCATCCTGCGAGCGCACCATGACATGCAAGGAAGTTGAAAAGATGTACGGCGGGTTTGGCTGGACCGAGACCGCCATGCTGGCGCTGACAGGCGCAGTGGCGGTCTTCAGCATCAACGGAAACTTGGAACGATACCAGAGAAGGAGAAGAGAGAAGGAGGAAGAGGAAGAGGAAGAACAAGCAAACAGAGACCGTGAGCTACGCAAGGATCAACAAGTCAGAAGGAACAGGAGCGAGAGCATCGGTGGCCGCCGGGCCCGGTCTGAGACATGGAACGGGGCCGTCGACGATGAGCATCACAGAGCCGGGCACCGAAGCCGTGATATGAGCAGGTTCAACGAGGACAGAAGCCGGAGCGGGAGGCGGAGCAGGAGGGGAGACTGGGGCGATGATGACGATTACGATAATGATGAGGATGCTTATGAACGACGTCGACACAGGAGATCCTACTACAACAGAGAAAGGGACACACGTCAATAACGCTGCTGGGCATTTGACCCAGCTCTTAACGGCCGCCTCATAAGATACCACTATACACATAGACAAAGAATACCATGACACGAACTGCAAGTTCAATTTTACCCCTACGATTGACACCTGATCCAATCCCGCTGTTCTCGAGAATCCGTGAAAATGAAGCTACCGGAAGCACAAACAGCCATGAATTCCCATCCTAACCGCCCTACTATTTTTCCCATCCTAACCGCCATAGTTTCACAAGCCGATTCTATTCTAGTCTGCTTACGGCTTGGCACGGTTTCCAGATCTGCAACTCTGCTTTAGTATTTTTCCGGCCACTTCCCGCCACGCTAAGGCGGGCAGCCCGCCTTGATGGAAGCGAGAGCCTGCATCGTGCGAATCCTTTATCTGCACGACAAAAGCAGGGCGCCTGTTGGATGACTTCACCCATCAAGGTGAGATCAGCCTAACCTCTTTTGTAAAACCTGCATAAAAGTGGATCTGCCCTCCTCGGGCTCCCTAGATAGCTTCCTCTTCCTCTCTCACCTTCATAGAACCTAGAACTGAAAGGATAATAGATGATTTATGATTTGACCTACTGGTAACAAGAGCGCCGTGGCCGAACTTCCGGGCGCTGACCAACCGCCGTGGGCACGTCCCTGGCTGATGGATTGAGGCCCCTGTAAAGCCTAACAAGAGAGCTCGTGTCCACATTCGGCGGGCAGAGGGTGTGCAGGCGGCACAGGTTTTTGATTACGCATTACGCTTGAGAAGAACTTTGGCAATTTCGTGGCTATTGAAACTCTGATTATGGAAAATGAAGCCTTTTTTTTTCGTTGACTGTTGAGCCCAAATTTTGACTGAGAGCTCTAGAGGGAAGACATATCATAGCCGTTCACCGGCTGGACCCCGATTTAGAAGGTGAAGGTATTCCGGTCGATCAAGGAGGCGCCAAGCTGCGTTCATGTTATCATTTCCTGCTACTCGTGAAGATAACATCCCATTATTGCTTACTGCTATTGGCATGGGTGCTAATCAAGTCGAGCAACGCTCGGGGATGTCGCCCACATAATACCTAGCGCACGGAGGAGTCCCCTACCCAACGAAAGAGTCGCTTATTGACATACACAGTTGGAATACTGATGAGCCAGTTCAACAGTGATGCTGAATCCTATGGGATATGTGGTAAATGTAAAAAAAAAAAAAAAGGTAGATATGTTGCCATTTGATCTATAAGATGTATACAAAGAAAAAGAAGTAAAGGGTGTGATGCTCTAATCAATCACGTAGTTGAGTTTCCAACGTCCACAGGTAACGCCTAGTCCTCCACAGTTCAATCACACAATGGGAACACCCGGCTGCTTCCCCTATCTCATGGTGGGCAGGAACATCCCAGAGTCGCACTCAGGAGAGAGGCCAACAGAGAAGACTCGCAATGAGGCCACGAGTAGATAGAGGCACAGAGCACCAAGATTTCCCGCCATATCCAATCATTAACATGAAGGGTTGGTTTCCAAGGAGGTAGCATCACAAAGCCTCGGATATAATTAGAAATTAATAATAATTTCACATTCCATCCCCAAAATCACAATACAAAACGCCCCAAGTTGCACAGATGCCGCTGTCATATGTTTGTACCACACATTTCTCCCTCTTCTTCCTCTTTCGTATTTGTTGTCGTCATACTCTGTTCTCTCCTTAGTCGATCTTGATCGCACTGTTTCAAGTTAGTTCAAGTCTTGAATGATCGACGTTACGCAACGGGGTCCACTCACTTATAGATGCGTCGAACGAATGCATAGGCACTCAGGAAGCCGATGGTTCCCGTCAACAGGCCATAAACACAACACGCCATGAAGCTGTATGCAAAGAACAGCAAGCTGCTGGTGACACCAGTGATGTGCAGGTTGAAGAAGTAGTAGTACACGCAGTAGCCGTAGATCCAGAATGCGCTGCCTCCGCCCACCAGGAACGACTGCCACCACCAGTTGTGGTTCTCAGCGCAGAGCTGGACGTAGACAGTCACAATCGTCACCTCGGCAATGGTGACAATCAGGATCACAGAGACCACGGCCAGGAATCCAAACACGTAGTAGTACCCGCTCTTATCCTGCCAGAGAGACTGGAACACGTACAGCAGCTCGATGAAGATGACGGCAAATGGGATCAGGCCCGCCAAGAGAATAGACTGCAGCGACTTGATGTACCAGGCCTGCTTTGGAACCTGTCGTGCAATGGCCGCGGTCTTGGTAGGATGCTCCCAAGCCGCTGCTTTCCAGTATCCGTAGTATGAACCAGCGTACACGAGGGGGACTTGGATGCAGAGCCAAAGAACCACGATGGCCACCAGCGTTCCAAATGGAATTGCCGTGCTCGAGGCCTGCGCCCAGACAAACAGATTCATAATGAACATGATCGAGAAGCAGAGGCCAGGGAACAGGATAGCTGTGACAAAGGCATTTCGGCGGTGGTCCTGCCCATCGAAACTCTTGAATGTCCGAGCAGAGAAGTATCCCGAAAACAAACCAGCAAAGATGAACAGACCGATTCCAACACTAATGAAACCACCGCGGAAACTGGGATTGAGAACCCCAAAGGCACTCAGGCCAATCAGTCCAAGAGCCATAACCAGGAGCTGCACACCGGATCCAACCAGAGGCGCCAGGATAACACCAAAGGGAGGTGGCCTAAAGACGTCGCCATGCAATAGCTTCCAGCCTGCAACATCCTCCAAAGCTTCCTCCTCCTCTGATAAGCCAGCTTCTTCGTCTTCGCCCTCTTGCTGGAGGAGGCCGGCGGGCTTCTCCTTGAAAAGGCCGGACTTGACCCTGCGCTTAACCCTGAGCTTTCCCTCCGGGGTAACCGCCTCCTGGTAGCCCTTGATATCTGTCCGGACAGTCCTGGCAATAATGATCATAACAATTCCCGTCAAGAGGCCACAGATGATGAGAGAATTGATGATGGCAAGCCAGTGGATGCGATTGCCCTCCTCCTGGTTAACAAAGTACAAGTCCCACCGATGCGACCACTCGATGCTGTCGTCTTCGCGGAAGTACACCGAGTACGAGAAGGGGATGGTCAGGCCATCCTCGCTGAGTGTCCCGTCAGCCTGGATCGTCTTGTTCTTCTGAAGCTCAAAAGCGCCATCCACCTGCGCGAGGTCGATGGGACATCCCTTCTCATCTCGGCGGTTACCCGGACCAATACTCTTCGGGTAGACCTCGAACCCAACAATGATCTTCTCCCCGCGGTCGCCGGCTCTCCCCGGAGCCTTGCGGTAGCGGAGCACGATGGTGTGGTGGTTGTTGATATAAGTGTGCATCATCTTGGCAGTGTAGGAATACTCCGTGTATCCCAGCTTGAAGCCGGCGGCGTAGTACTTGCGCGTCTTGTCGACCGAAACGAAGCTGGTGGCACCGGGGAGATTGTCCACGATCCATTCGGTGACGTATCCCTCCTGGATCATGCCCTCGGCGCGGCGCACATCATCGTGAGACAGCTTAACGCTGCACAGCGAGTGGCACAGGTTGTCGTTGCCCATCTCCAAGTCAATGTCCGAAACCATGATCCTGTCTCCGCGCAGAACCTCGCCCAGGTTGAGGGGGATGCTCTGCCCGCTCAGCAACCCCCCTCCTGCATTGTGGTTTCCGGTCGGTGGGCATACGAACGGGAGGTCGTAGTAGGCGTACTGGAGCTGCGTGTTGTCGGAGTAGACTTTATTTACCAGCAGCGGGATGTGCTCGCCGTCCTTATAGCTCAATATCGACCAACCTAAAAACCATCTTGCGTTAGCCATCCGCCGCGCGCCAAAATCAAACGCCGCCAGGTCGATGCGCGAACATACCCGGGATGTAGAAAGCTCCCGCCGTATTCAGGAGCCCCAGCCACAAAAGGCTGCGAAGCCCGGCCCCCGGATTGATGACCATTTTGTTTGGTATCCCCAATGCACAAGTGCGGGCCGTCCGCCGTGGATGGTGTGGTTGTCCCTTGTGCTACCGCACGTCTCAACTCCCAGGCGGAAGCTTATGTCCGGCGCCCCAAGCTTTCGGGAGGATGTCTGACGTGCCTTCGAGATTGTCGTAGAATTGAAGCGGGTATGTGCGCCACCGCAGTTGGTGGAATTGGTATTTGAGAAGGGGTGCGGTGATCGTCGGTACGACCGGAGGTCGCGTGGTGCTCAAATAGTCGAGGCTTGCTCAGGTAAGGAATGTTGGAGCGGGAACGCAAATATTACAAAACACAATATATAGACAAAAAACGGTCGACCAGCAGATCAGCTTGGCCTGCAAAAATGACAAATAGCCTGATTAATAGATAATATACTCTCGGTAGAAATGGAATGGACGACGATACCCGAGGGGGGGGGGAGGAAAAAAGGGTCGAAGGACGACGTATACGTATGATAATGAAGGATGGCAAAGGTGGGGAAGCCAGCAAAGCACTCCTGAGTGGTAATTAGCCAGGGGTTCTCCGAGTCTTTATGCCAGCCAGAGGTACGAATCAGCCCTGCGGATAGCGGCAGAGAGCCGTTCGGAGGGACAGTTTTGCCGTTTCCAGGTCTGCCATTCGGTAGCGGTCGCGGCAGGCTCGAGCGGTCCCCAGCCAATCATAGTGCCCCGATCTAGCTGAACGCGCTCAGCGACCCGTCAAACAAGCATTAAAAGCGGGGCAGCTGGTCGATGGTTCCATTTTAGACGCTGCTAGCGCATTGCATCGAACTTTGGATACGGCCGCGACCGTAAAATCTGGGAGTGCATCGTCTTGGCGGTCGCTTACCGTCCGGGGAGACATGTATTCTCCGGGAGCCAGGGCAGCCATCTTGTGCCGCTGGATGCAATGATGTCTTGGAATTACTCTAATTCGCCGTTAGATCTCGTCGTTGGATCCTCCCGAATGGATGCCGTTCCCAGCGTCCCGTGCAGCAGAGGTATGCGGCCAAGCATTATATTGCTTACCATGCAGCCCAACAGTCAATAGTGTCTCACGAGAGACGCAGCCCAGTATGGCGGCACACCTCGCGACCACGTTCAGGACCCTACGCTACACCAAAGGTAAATAACGTTGGCTCACGTTGACATGTCCAAAGTCCGCTACGTCTTGAATCCGGAGAGGGAGATACGGGAGCTAGACTCGGTACGGCTGGGCCAGGGGGGGGGGGCAAACATCATTCCAAGAAATCGCAATGCCAGCCACTTTGTATAGGGCTGGCGGGTATCATCAGTATTACTATGCTCGTGTCACGGTCCCATCATCGTCACCAGAAAACGCCATATCCTCACTTCTCACTCTCAATGCCATGCAAGCGCTCGTGTCAAAAGAAAATATCCAAGTCCATAACCATGTGTGCCCAAACATTGCCTCGGGAAACCAAAGAACGGATGAAAACAAGAAACCTTTGCTAAGAAGTAGTGCATCTGAAACAGCTTTTCTTTTCCCTCCCATCGCATCAACGAAAGCAACAATGACATGCTAAAAATAACCAAATAAAAAACAAAAACTGATCATGAATTCGTGATGATTATTGTCTCCTCCTCTCGTACATTATAAATATTATTTTGATTCATTTTGTCCCAGATTCACAGCTTCAAGCAACTGGGACCGAAGGACGGCGGATTTCGTCGTAGCCAGGAAGAATGCTGCAGGTTCGTGGCATCGGGACGGTGTTTGTGTTTGGAACCTGCAGCGTCGAGCGAGGACGCAGGTAATCGTCGGGTCCGGCACCCTCAGCTTGAGCCATAGCGCTCTCAAAGGTCGGGAGCTCGTCGTCGCCCTGGGGGTCAAATCGCTGCTCGACACCGATTTGCAGGGGAACGTTGAGCGAAAATGTCGTGTTCGAGGGCCCGACGGACAGGGTGAGCTGCAGCACGTATGTGCGCGAAATCAGGCAGTTGTGGAAGGTGGGGAGAAAGATCCTCTTGTTCGAGACGGGGATCTTGATGGGCAGGTCGATGGAAGCACAGTGCTTGATGCCTGAACCAGGAGACTTCTTCTTCTTCTCCTTGACCCGGGAGCTTGACTGAGCCTCTTCGTCGGAAGCAGTCATCTCGTCCTCATCAGTGGTGCCCACAGTAGAGTATCCAGAATCCTTGCGCAGCAAGGGAATGCGGCTCTGGGCCCACGACACCTTCTCGGGTCGGGTGGTAAATAGGTTGTGGGTGCCATCGTATGTGAGAAGCTGGTTCGTGGCATACGCGTCCTTGGGGCCAAAGTTGGGCAACTTGTCCTGGGGGGTGCTGCCGAAGAAGGTGGTGGTGATGATCTTGCCAGCCACAGAGTTGACCTTCGGGGGTACTCCATCAGCTACCGTCGGCTCAAACTCCAGGTTAATCCGTGCGGTGGTCTCGGAGGCAGAGAGGCCGTTGCTTGACAACATGACAGCCTTGGGCTGCCTTCCGGTTACCTTGAGCTCACCCAGCTTGCCTGCAAAGAGGTTCTTTCGCAGGGTCTTCGTCTTGCTCATGCAGTAGCGCTCATCGCTCTTCTTGATATCCAACGGAGCCTCCTCTGGGAGAGCTGGCAGAACCTTGATGATCTTCTTGCCCTCCATAGTACCGTACTTGGTCTCGCTGCCTGGAGCAGAGCGAGAGACAACCTGGGCCTTGATGGCATACTCGATATGGGTCATATCCGGGGCCTGGTCGTCAGCCTCCCAGTAACCAATGGTTGGCGGCAAGTACAGGTGCTGGTCCTTCACAGCCGGGTTCTCACAACCGTGGTTGCAAGAATTGATGATGAGCTGGTGGGGGACGACAAAGTGGAAGGGGATGTTGTATGTTTTTCCAGCCAGAAACACCCGGTCCTCGGGAAGATGCTCGTTGTCGATTGGCATTCGCAGCTTCAGAAATGTCCTTACCGAGTTGGTTGTGTAGGACTGGACAAAATCAAGGCGGGTGGCAACTGTGCCCGTGAACAAGATGTTGAAGGCATCGTAGCTCAAATCGCGGGGCGACTTGACCACCACATGGCCAGACACGTGGGAACCAGAGGTATATGCCTTGGAAGTGAAGTGCTGGTTAATTTCAACTTCGAGACTGGGCTTGGCAGCGGCACCAGCCTTGGGGCGAACAGCGCCGCGCGCAGCAGTGTCGACAATCCCGGGCATATCAAGCTTCTCGTTCTTGATGCGGGTAGTATTGCGGAAATTCCAGATTCTGCGGATATGAAGGCAGGCGGAAGATGGTAGTTGGGGCGATTTGCCTCCTCTTATGCACTCCTCGATTTGGATGAGGGGATGGATGCCAAGCAAAAAAACGTAATCAGCTGGCCAGTGGCAGATACAAAAAAAACAGCTGACGCTCTTTGTAATAGGGTTATGATGATGCGGTGGCTTCCCAAGGGCTGGTAACTGCGTAAGCCAAGTCGTGCGGGGAGATAGGGCAAGATGTAGGTTTGGGTATAGATGGTCGGAGGGTATATTATATAAGTGGTAGGGATGTGAGATCAATCAATGTCTGTCTATACAGAGACACGGCGGAAGCAGGACAGATCTGATAAGGGAGATGTATCAATATATATATATATTAAGGATTATGGGAGAGAATGACGAGCAGCCATGGCGAAGCAGACAGCGGCCAGGCAGGCAGATTATTTATCGTCGTCAAATGCCGGGACGGATTCCGGGGGGGTGTGTGAAGGCATCGTGGGTGTGGGCGGATCTGACGCCTTGCTCCTGGCCTGAGTCACCTTCTGGCCCTGATGCCGCTTTTGAAAGTGGGCGGATGGATCGATAATGCTATTAGCCTTTGCACTTGGGCTGGAAAGGAAGCAAAAGAGCAGACCCCAGCTGCTGGCAGTGATTAGGCCACCGCATCCCCCAAAGGCGCAAAGGCCAGCGGTGGGGGTCATGTGTGGGCAAGCCGCGACTAACTGTGCGAAATTCCAGCTATCGAGATGCCGGTGGGAATGCTTATTGATGGCGCATTTCTGTTGTCATTTGTCCGTCAACGGCAGGGCTTCCTTTCTTCCACCGTGGCGCACCCATGATCCCGTAATCCGGTGTGCGATGAATCATCTCGTCTCACCGCATCGTCTCATCTGTCGCATCGCGCTCTTAATTCAACGGCGCCGTTCTTTTCTTGCCATCTGTGCGATCGATCTGTTATGTACATACTGTTTGGATCTACGAGATCATGGTGGGAGGCAGGCGGAGGACAATCTCCGACTTGGAGGGAGACCAGATGCATTGCATCATGTAGGATGCTTCAGTCTCCAGCATGGGCCACAGAACGGAAGTTTTTGGCCGTCACATCGTGATCACACTTCGCGATCGTAAGCATCCGGATGGAGGGAGGGGAGGAACAGTGGTGCTGATGATTTCACGACTCTGCCTGTCAAAACAAGCATGAAACCACCTAGGCGACAGATCATGGGTGCACAGTCTGTGTGCCTTGCATCCATCCTGATCCGATCTCCCAAGAGAGTAACTGAACCCCAGCACTTGCATGAGGTCCCACTGGTTCCACGCCTCGTTCTCTCCTGGGGACAACGACAGTTTGCTCTTCCCCATCAGACCCAGAGGGGAAGTCTTCAGACACGACGCACGTGTGTCAGGCCAGGCCGGTGGGCTTTCGCGAAGCTTCGTCGACGGGCAGCGGCATTGACGGCCAGGATCTTATTGCCGTCGGACCATTTCATCTCGAGGCTCTCCCATCCGGGACAATTGCATGCAATCTGGACCCTTCGCTTGCCCCAAACAGAATCAGTTGACCTTGAAGAAAATTCCTGACCCCTGTTCGTTAATGACCCAAAATAACAACCAGCCTCTGTCCAACTGCCCTTTGCCCAGATTGGCTCACGGTAGCTTCGTGGTAGCCTCGCACCAGAACCAATCTGGATCAGCCGCCCTGGGAGAAGCTTCGGAAGACGAGCTACTCGGAATTCCTTTTGGAAGCTCTGCCATGAGCTCCAGCAGCGTCCCGGGCTGACCTGCTTCATGACTGGCTCGCTGACTTGGACAAGTGATAGTGTGTCAATGCAATGACTCTCTGGCTGGTTTTCTTTAGTCAACGGATCCACTGCTGTCGCCATTCTCCGGTCCACTTCCATTTTGCTCCAATTTTCGCCTACTGATCTCTCGTGGCTTACACGGACTTGCCCGTCTCCCTACCAACCTCCCAGCGGTGAGGAAAGTAATTATCGCGAGGTTGTGTGCCCAGGTCGCGGTCAGTCATAGACGATCATGGATTTGACTATATCCCAAGAGCAGCAGGGGGCGAGAGAGCGTGCATTCTGCTATGCACGCTTGATGTGCCCACTACTAGGGATCCTAGCTAGAATTTGCTTTTGGTGCTTGACATTTGGGATCTAGACATGCACATCCACAGTTGCTGCAATGAAGAGAGAAACCTGGGGATTATAGTGGCTCTTGGTCAAGAAGCTGTACCGCTAAGACCTCGCGCACATCCGCAGTTGCGGGGAGAGTTTTAATCACATAATCTAAGAAATAGTCCCTTGGATATAGGTACCTTCCATCAAACAGTCTGCTTGGCTTAGACGAGCTCGCCGTCCCTGGCTGAACAGAGTTCCCCCTTCTCTCCTCCCCCCTTCAGCGGTCGGTCCTTCTCCTGGTGGCAGAACATGAATAAAATGCCGATGTCGCTTTTCCCTCTCATCTCATCTCCACTGCCAGACTCACACGCACGCCACACCCCCAGCCGTACAGTGTAGAGCACGTTGTTGAAGAATCACGACATCGAACCTACCAGCAGAACCTGCGCTTCAGAGCCGCCTTGCCCTGCCGATGCCTGTCCCAGCCCCTTGTCAAGCCGCGCACCAGTCGGAGCGCTCGCCCTGCCCATCAAGCAAGCCCTCTGCGCTCTGATGGGATAGGCCCCGTTCCTTATGTGCCTACCCGTCCCTTGGTGCATTGGCGCGCGCACTTCTTTGTCTCGCTTCAGCCGATCCTAGCTGGTCCCCTGAGCTTGTGTCCTGCACGACTTGCTTGCCGATCCCCTCCTTTGGGCTAGCGACGGCCCACGAACCTGTCATCGCCGCTTTTACCACTCTGTTTTGTCTGTATTCGTCCCCGGGTCAGAGTAGTCTTTCCATCTTCGGGAGCCCTCTGTCAGATCACGAGCTCGCCTCTTTTTTTCCTTCCTTCTTCAACCTTTGGGCTTTTTAGGCTCGTTGTTCGCGAGCCGCCCTCCCGTTCCCGCTAATTTTCATCCCCGTCTTATTCCACGCCTCTTGGTTCCCCAGGCGCAAAAGTGTGCTCCGTCTTTGCGTATACTAGCTAATGCCTCCTTTGGGGATCGTGCTCTTATTCCCACCCACGTTCTCCAGCATTTCCCATTCATTGACTAACACGTTCAGCAAAACAGGAAATATCTTCGGAAAGGGGACGTCAGGTGGCTGCTGCTGCCACGTCGTCTGCATATACCTCGTTTGACCATCATTATCCCCAGCATATGCCTCTTCGTCTGTAACCAAACAAACAACCTCTAAACTGATGAGTGCTCGTATCCAATGAGACATGCCTGTTAGCCACGAGGCCATTGGCGTCTTGCTTACCTCCTTCCCTAGTCTAGCCCAGGAACGGAAACTTATCAAAAGCCATTCTTACCCAGCCCAGCACATTCTCCAGTTCTCACCGTCCATGGTCTGTGGGTTGTCAAAGAAAAAAAAGACATTACTTCCGTCTGTCCAGAACTATGGAAACCCACCGCCAGATCTAGATAAATCCCCATAAACAGGCCCGAGTTAAGAGATGCCACTTATATGCCCTTTATGGCAGGCACGCCTTGAGTGACATCTTCAACTGCAGGGATCACCAGTCCAGACTACACGCCCTCATAACTCCCTTCATGGTTAAAAACCATTAAGAAATGGAAGCAGCTTACAACCACTAAGACTCCAGCCTCCTCGCTCACCGTAGAAGAAGAAAAAAAAGACCCTGCGTGCGCCAAAATTCCCTCTCGCCTCAGGGCCATGGCCGGGTTGGGATACGCGCGCCGGGTAGAGCCGCCTCTCTGCATGCTGCTACCCTTCTCTCGCCTTAATGGCTTCCCGAACCGCGTCTCGCCCATGACCCTCCCTGTCTTCCTGAGTGTGGGCCGGCAGCAGGACCCTGAAGACGCCATCGACAGGTCACCACTCTTGCCGACCTCGCTCGGTTGTCAATAGCGCCATGTTAGGCCAGAACGCCAGAATGTAGAAAAAGGGCCCATGGGTTTTTTTGTAAATGCGATGGAGCAAACCTCGTTAATTAAAACTTCTATCAATGATATCCGCTAATCCAGACATGCCATAAAATTTTATTTGCTCCCGCTCTCAATACGTTTTATCCCACACCGCCCGGTATTTCTGAAATTGCACACAGTTCCTCTAACCAACCCCCGTTGAACAACCAATAACAGTTCATAATCAAGCCGGGTCACTGTTCCGTTTTTGGTCTGTTTTTTTCCCACTCGTATAAAAGACCCAGCCGTTCTTCTACTATGTGAACTCGCTTAGTCTACTCCGTCTATTCGTGCCAGGAGATGTAGAGCATGATGCCGGCCCCGACGGCCACGGCCGTGAACTGGACGAGGGTCTTCTTGAGCTCCTCGCCCTTGTTCTTGCCCGTCTCCAGCAGCTCGGGGATCACGGCCACGGTGCCGACGTAGAGGAAGGTTCCTGCGGTGAATGGCAGAAGCATATCTCCCCAGGTCTAGAAAACCCCAAAAGGTCAGAATCGGTACTCAAGCAACCACACCCACGCAAGGGAGTCAATGAAACAAGGGCGAGTTCTGTCTGTAACTTACCAAACTAGTGCCCCAGAGTCCAGCGGTTCTGGCCATGGGGTCGTCGCCCGCGCTCGCTCCGCTGCCACCAAACTCCTGCACGGCAATGCCGATTAGGGTACCCAGCAGAGCTCCGATGGCGGTGATGAACTGGGATCCCATGGCCGCGCGCTTGGAGAAGCCGGACTGCACGAGGAGGGCAAAGTCGCCAACCTCGTGGGGGATCTCGTGGAAGAAGACGGCGACAGTGGTTGTGGCGCCGATGGTGGGCGAGGCGTAGAAACTGGCAGACATGGCCAGACCGTCGGTGATGTTGTGAGTGAAATCGGCACTAAACAGAGGATCCCGTGTTAGCTACCATAATAGACTGGGAGAGAGTGTTGTACAATCGAGGACCAGCGGGCATACATTAGATTCAAGTAACCACCAAGCTTCACGCTGGGATTAACCTCCTTCTTCTCGACAACGGCGTCCTCCTCCTTGGAGCCCTTGCCCTTCTTCTTCCTCGACACAACCCCTCCGTTAGAAGCATCAGTTCCCGTAGCGTGCCCCTCGCTCTTACCCTCCGCGTGCCCATGCTCATGCCCGTGCGAGTGATCGTGCCCCGCGCCCCCGGTCGCGATCCGGAGCCCCTTGTCCATGGCGACGAAGACCATGAACCCGACCAGGATGCCCAGACCCAGGAGCAGGTTGCGGTTGGGCTCGACGAGCACCAGGCGGACGCGCTCGGGCTCGTCCTCGCCGAGGAAGATCTCGGGGAGCAGGTGGAAGAGGGTGTCGCCCAGCAGGCCGCCGACGGCAAAGGCCACCATGACGGAGAGGGACGAGGGGTCGATGTCGGTCGGGCAGAGGGCGAGCAGGAAGTTGGGCGGGCCGGAGATGTACAGCGTCGCGAGGAGGGCGTTGACGGCCGGGGAGCCGGGGAAGAGGACGGCGAAGAGGCGCGTGGTCAGAGAGGACGGGGCCGCGGAGTGTTTGGCGTGTTTGGCGGCATTGAGCTCCTGGACGATGGGGCAGGTCTGTATAACGAAGAGGAGCTGTTAGCAATCGTTCGCCTGCTCGTCGGAACCATGTTTCCCAAGGGGGTAAGGGGGCTCAAACCTGGAGTTGCTCGTCGAGACCATCAAGGCTCACGCTGTCTAGGAGGGTTTTATCGGCAGCCTTGTGAGCATGGACGAGAGCTACGAGAAGCGCCAGGCACACGGCCAGACGCCCCAGTCGAGAAGATGGAAACATTGCTGGGAAAGTGGTGTGCAGCGTAGCAGAAGGTGAAATTGAGCTGCTACGTTGGGGACCAGGAGAGAAGGGTTCTCCGCATCCAAGGTAACGATCAGATAAACAGATGTGTTCACAGGAGACAGATTTCCCGATTTGGCTTCCGGGTCTAGTGGTGTGGATGCTTAAAGCTATGTACCCGCTAACCGTTGTGGCCAGCGCGTCTTGGGCCGAGGCACCACTCAACTAAAGCCTGGTGTTACGCCTTATCCAACCTCAACTGGCAAAGGGTCGTAGTTTTAATGGAGGCGTTCTTCCAATTGGTGACCGTATTCTACGCTCGCGTGGGTTGAAGCTGCTTATTACGAAACCTGCACTGATGAGGTAGATTGTATGATAGGTACCTATTGAGAGCTTTATTGTTTTGACTATGGCTCGATCGGAATCCTTCCCTTTAAAGGAAGCCTTGTTCGTGGCGCTACACCTGGAGAGTATAGAATAGTAACAATATTTAATTGAACAAAAACTTCAAAGAAGTTATTTACTCATATGTAATTAATTGGAAATAAGAGATACTTAATCAAGCTAATTAAACGTATGCAAGGAGGCTAAGAGCCGAGTGAATATAGGGTAGGAGGAAGTCTTGATGCGGCACTAAAGACGGTTGAATTGATGAGATGTAATTGGATCCAGATATTCAAATACGTTTCTGTGTAACGTAAAGGCTTGGACGCAAACTGTTGTTCCTCCTGGAATAAAGTGGCATGAGAAAGTGACACCTCTTGATGGGACGGTTCGAGGAAGTGGCCCAGGAGTTGCTCCATTTCGTCTAAGCGTATCGTCGATGAATGCCGAGAAATATGGCAATCTTCCAAGGTCCGAGTCCGAATAATTATGCGGAAGACCTGAGACTTCACCCTCAAGCCGTAATTCTTTCGCCACTGGGTGATACATTTGAAGCCTTCCAACAGCCACCAGGATGGACATTTATCAACTCTCCTTTGTCTCTATTCTTAAGATGGGTCCTCCTTTACACATCAGCATATGATTTTGTTCAATGGCATGCATGCAGCCTTTTCTGTCTCCGATGGTATATTCACTACTCTACTATCATGTGCTCATTGGGGACGTCGCAACACGTCTCACGTCGGGAACCGGTCAAACCACCGCTGGAACTCGCTCGTGAAAAAGTTCCCAAGCTCAAGATCATCCTCAAAGCCCATTCCAGGCCCTTCCAGTGCTGGAGGTCTGGAGAGTAGGTCGGATAAGAGATTTGAATCTTGGGCGGCGTTGCTGGAGAGATTATTCGAAGCTGGTCCATCCAATTGAAGAGGGGGCGATGAACCTGTTGCAAATGTCAGCAAAAGGACTTAATTACAAAAAAGGTTAAACGATTGAAAACAAACCCCAACTATCAAGCAGCCGTACCAGTTGCTTCAGATAATCGACGCACCGATGGAGGGTTATGTTTCGCGTCCCAAGCTGGACGAGGCCCTGGACAGCCTTTTCCAGGTACTGCTTCGTACGGCTGATCTCCCCCACCCCGAAGGGATCACCTGCTGTGTCCTGGATCGGCACTAAAAGGCTACCAAACAGGACCAAAGCCGCGTTGAATGCTGATAAAGGAAAACAAAAGTCAGCGGTGTGCTGGACCAAAAAGGTGTGTGTGTCACGGTGACGAAGAGGGGCTCCCCTTACTATAATACAGCGTGAACCACCAAGCTCCCATGAGATGCCGCCCGAGACCCGGCTTCGTGAGAACGGCGTGGATGATGTTGATGATGTCCTCTGCGACCTGCACGCACATGAAGTTGAAGTTGGCCTGGACTTTGCTGACCGAGCGCTGCTTTTCGCCGCTCGTTCCGCGAGCGAGGGAATCGGCCAGCACCGGCCTGTATAGCAATAATTGCACGCTCAGGTATCGCAGTGAAAGGACTACTCTGAACCGTTCCAGAATATCATCTTGCACGTCGCCTTCCTCCGGTAAGTTGGTGGAACTCCGCAAGAACAACGGACGGGGCAATGCACTGGCCCAGTTGTTGAGTTCTTGCTCGAGCTGGAAGATTTGCGTAATCATCCACGTCTCGGGTGGTGTCTCTACGCTGGCAAGATTATGGCCATAAAGCGTGGCGACAATTTTCCATAGAACTCTGTATAGAAGACTGGGAATGAACCGTTAGTGGTAGTTCAAACGCTTGCGAGAAGAAGGGAGAGGCATGCATGGTAGAGTTGAAGAAGCCAACGCTTGCGATGCCATACGCCGCTTCGGTACCATCATCCATGGGAATGATTGTGGGAAGATCCAGCTGGATATAATCCTCTGGAATAGCACTCGGCCGCCCGAACGTCATGCTGAGGCTCCTAGTGAACGCAATTAGCTACCCAGCTAGCCCTTGTTAAGTAGATCGTGTGTGATACCTATCCAATAGCACACAGCCGAACCAGGTCCGCTTTCTCATCTCCTGCTCGATGGGCGTAAATCTCGCCATCATGTCCCTCGAGTGGAGGCCGATGGACAAAGCCGCCTTCACAGCTAGGCCGTGGGTAGTCCATGTCTGGACCGATCGCTGTGTGCCTTGCAAGTACTGGCTCGTGAGCAACAAATACTGCACTGTTGCTCCCCGTCAGCTTTCTAGAGTTGCTTGCTCTCATGTCAAGCGCCAACATACCGGTCTCAAGAGTAGTGCCTCTCATCATCTGCGTCTTGCAGAGTTCTCGCGCCCGCCGATAATACACGTCCGACTGGTCCGTTCGATACTCTGTACCATCTTCAGCCCACTGCGACGTGCAAATCGCCATGGCGACTATCATGTTTAGTAGACTGAGCCAGGTCCGTCTAATATTGGCGCGATAATTTTGATCCCGCATGCGGTTATACGTTGCTAGAAACGTGTCTTCGTGGATAAAAGGGAAGAGAAGGCCAGTGTTGGAGAAGTAGGACCGGATGAGCTTTTCAGTTTCCTCCTCCGGCGGTAGAATGTTAACCTGTACAGCATTTTCCAGCTCCCCATTGTGTTCCTGGACGGACATGGACGACGCTGGCTGCGGCACGCTTATCATGCTGGCCTGGTAGGCCCCGATGTTCAAAGGCGATTCCGGCGACCGACCCTGGCTCGTAATGCCTTTCTTGGACATTGCACGGAAGATGTGACGCATGAAGGCAATGTTTGAAGAGGGGCCTAGACGAGGGGTGATGAGATGCGTCCTCACGGGCGCGAGGGTCTTGGGAAAAGACTTACCAAAGAACCCGCAATCTTCCTCGTTGACAAAGGAAAGTGCCATACCATCAGTCATGCTCTGTTCCGTGGGGGCATCTTCAATGCCTTCGGGATGGACAATGACGCCGGTCGCCATGCCCGGAGCCGGAGCCGGAGCGTCGTGGCGGGCGACGGGCACCTCTACATGGCGATCATTCCTGACACTGGATGTCTCGATGGCTTTGATGCGCTGGTCCTGTTGCTGTACAGTAGCCTCAAGCAGCTTGACCTTGCTTTCTAAGGAGGCAAATATGCTAGTTGCTGCGAGTTAGAGACCTGGGTAGCCGCTCTTTGCTGGGGGGCTTCTTCCTCACTCTCGAGGCACGAGCAGATTGGCGGACGCATCGGGCAGTTCGTAGATGCACTCGAATCCTAAGCGATCGCAGGGGTCGCATTTAGGGCGCACGCCGTTGCACTGTCAACGGCAGATCAGCCTTCATTGCCGGCTTATACCAGTCAAAACCGCAGTATTTAACCCACTCTGGACTTTCGGATCCGGCAGGCGGAACATGCAAGGCCAACCCGTCTCCGTTTCGGCGCCGGAGGGCTCGCAGCGCCTTCAATTCGGTCACTCGTTGAGTTACTGTCCTCTTGTCGCTCCGGTGGGACCCCGGCCGCTGACATTAGGGCGATTGTGGGCGGACAGCTGTTACAGTGAAGCGAAAAGGGCAGAGTCCTCAGTCCGCAAATCCGGGGAACCGTTGGCTTAAAGTCCGCGGCCAAAATGCGGGGAGAGGTGGAGCGAGATGGGCGGGGCCGGGGAACCATCGGGACCGTCCCGGGAATCGAGGTCATATTCAACGAACAACCACCAAGTGAGGGAATGGCACGCAGACAGAGGTCCTTTTCCTACAGCAGCTTTGTACCTGTGTGATTGCTTGTAGCATTCAGCAAAATGAGGGTTGCCTGGTCACGCCTGATTCGCTTCGTCGCCACCGACGGCCGAACCCTCTACGGAGAGCCCATTCTCACCAACCCTGACTTTGATATTGGTGACACCACGGAAAAGACTGGCCTGCAGGCCAAAGTCATCAAGGGCCAGGATATATATGACACCACCGGGGCCACGAAAGTGACAGATGATGTCGTCACCGTCAAGAAGCTCCTCGGTCCTCTCGCCCCCATGGATGTGCCAATACTTCGTTGCGTCGGGCTGAACTTTGCCACTCATAGTAAGAAATTTCTTGTTCCTTAGCCGGCATGGGCGCCAAAATGCTCACAGCAGTGCAATAGTCCGCGAGGCGGGTCGAACGCAGCCGCCGTTCCCCTCCATCTTCTTCAAGCCCTCGACTACCGTAGCCGACCATGGAGCTACAGTGGTGATTCCCAAGATCGCGCAAGACGACCAGGCAGATTATGAGGGAGAGTTGGTAAGATGGCCCATCCTCTCACCTAGTTCTGCCGAGGCGGTTGGGAAAATGCTGATGCCTTTGCCCCTGAAACTAGGTCGTGGTAATTGGAAGGGACGCAAAGGATGTTCCCGAATCCGAAGCACTCAACTACGTGGCCGCATACACGGCCGGAAACGACATCTCGTCTCGTAAATGGCAGAGGGATCCGGCGAAGGCTGGAGGCGTCCCTCAATGGGGCTTCTCTAAAGGTTTCGACACATACGCGCCTCTTGGCCCTGTTTTGGTGTCGAGCACTCTAATCCCCGACCCATCAACCCTCCACCTGAAGACAATTGTTGATGGGGAGCTGCGCCAAAATGCTGGATTGGATGATTTGGTCTTCTCTGTCTCGCGGTTGATCGCTCATCTCTCATCGGGGACTACCCTGCAGAAAGGCAGTGTGATTATGACGGGTACTCCCGGAGGTGAGCATTGTGATCTGTTCTGTCTTTTATGCTTCGGGTAAAGCCGAGTGCTAACTTCTCTATGTCGTAGGTGTTGGTGCCGGGCTCAAGCCACCGAAATATCTTGTCCCCGGGACGAGTATGGAAGTGAACATTTCAAACATAGGAACCCTCAGAAACGGGGTAGATTTCGCCTAGGATGAAATAGGAGTCCAAGGCTTGAACATAGTAAACACGGAATTTCTCAGGCCTCGACTTGGCTCAAGAAGTGATGGAAATGGAAATACCAGAAGAAAACAACATGCATGCATAGAATACTCAATAACAGCTCAGTGTGATTCTCTGACAAGTAAGATTTGAGCTAATGACCTGATTTATTTATTTTAAAGTTATGTAGGAAATGAGAAATTTTTTGTTCAGTCAGGGAATACCTTCTAAAAACCTATAAAAGCATTGTAATGTCCTCTGAATGGCCTGAACAACCGCGGCATGACATTCAACCAGTCTAGATACCGTGGAGCTTGTCGTTTTGACTACAAGGAGTAATTGCCAAAGCATCTGCGAGAATTCAAAGAAAAATGAATTAGATTGGTGTCTATGTTCATATACTAATTGTGAACACCATTGGCAGTAGCCTGAGGGGTCCTTGATTCCCACGCCTTTCTCACCTCCTCCTCCGCATCATAACCATAGGCCCAAAGCTGCGTGGTCGGATCACTCCACTGGTTGGTGCTCTCGACAAATGATAAACCTTCAACCTCGGCGCGCATCCCCAGATCGCGGGCTTGCTGGTCCGCTCCGTCGGGGAAGTGCCAGAGCTCCCCGTTGACCAGGCTGGCGCGCTGCATGCCGTAGCTGCGTTGCATCCTCTCCTTCTCGAATACGTGAAGGGCTTCGGAAATCTCACTTGGGGACTTGATTAGTGAGAGGACCTCAGCTAATGCGGCCCCGTCTTCGACTGCCATGGCAGCACCTTGGGACATGTAGGGAACCATGGCGTGGGCGGCGTCGCCGAGTATGACGACCTTTTTGCTTTCGGAGATCCAGGTTGAGAGCTGGGCGCCGCTCAGAAGTGGCCATTGGATCGTTTTGGTGATCATATGAATCACCTTTGTAAGTCTGTGACGTGGAGCGTCAGAATTGCGCCGTCCAACACGGCCTTTCGTAAAGGAGGAGCTTACCTAGGGTCCCAGGTCTCAAACTGAACTCGCATCTCCTTCACAGCATCTCGGGAAGCCCATGTTGCCGGGTCAGTGCGGTCAACATGAGAAAGAACCATGTTGAAGGACTTTCCTCCAGCGATGCAGTAAGTCATTACGTGCCTGTCCTCTCCGATCCTACTCATCAATGTCAGCCACTGCAAGGATGTTGATATCCAAGAGCGAGCTCACCAAATGTTAATCCCCGGATTTTCCAGTAGCCAAGCTGTGTCCGGGTCAGCTTTCATCAAATCAGTGTCAACGACTGCTCTGTACGCTGCGAATCCTGTTTGTATAGGGGGCCTGTCCACTCCGCCGAGAACATCAGGGCGAGCGATGGATTTGACGCCGTCGACGGCCACAACCAGGTGGGCAGTGAACTCCCTCCCATCCGCTGTTGCAACAGAGGGCTTGCTCTCATCATACCGCACTACTCTGCTCTTCGTCACCACCTTGACCCCGAGCTTGGCCGCCAGATCACACAGGGCACCGTGGAAGTGTGACCGGTGGATGACATAGTACGGTGCACCATACGTATCCGAGAAGTTGGGGACGAGCTGCGTGAGGCCTATAGGGGCTCCATTCTCCCATCGGCGGAAAGTCATGCTGTCTGGCTGCACCACCTTGTTCTTGAAGTACGGGGTGATACCCCAAGAGGAGAGCAGCCGGCTAGAATTGGGTGGGATCTGAATGCCTGCGCCGACCTATTTGCCATACACAGACCCAAATCAGCAAAGGGATCATTCGAGGGTCAAGCTCTTGATAACGTACTTCTCCTAACTGCGCAGCTTGCTCAAGGACAGTCACGGTATGTCCGCGACGAGCCAGAGCTATGGCAGTGCTCAACCCACCAAGCCCTGCCCCAACGACCAGTACTCGGAGTGGCACATGGGACTTCTCAGCGGGGGGTTTCTGGTCATGGTAGCTAGCCTGGATTCTCTCGAGAAGTGCTTTTGACCGAGACGGGTATTCATAGATCTTTATTACAGGTTATTGATGTCAGTAGCTCAGACTTTCCAGTGTTCATGGTGTATATAGATAAATAGAGGCGTACTTTTTCGGCCACACTATCCCCATTCATGGTGTGCGCAAGGATCATGATAAAGTCATGTGAGATAGCTGAGTTAGTAAGATACAGAGAGATTTGCGTCTAGTAAAAAATTGGACGGAGCTGACTTACATGTAATATGCTGCGATTCGAGATGGTCTTGTAAGTCGTGGTGCCGGAGGAGCTCCGAATTTGCCCCGCCATGAAGATCTACTTCTTCCCCGCGGGCTTATACCGGGAAGCCTCCCCATTAATTGCTAAAATAAGGAATTATGGCTAATTCATAAAGGTGCTTGTATATCTTCAAGTCTAGGCGAGTGATATGACGTTGTAATTCGATTGAGACATACACATATAACAAACATATTCAGCGTTAGCATTAGCAGGCAAGTACTCCAACAGTTGCAACACCGCACAATGGCAGCAACAAACGTAGCCAACGGGAATAGACTGGCAAAAATTGGCCATATTAATACCCCAGCCAAGTCTATCGAGACCGAAGACCAGCTCGTGCAGCAGATGCGGTCCCTGAGAACGGCTCCCCTGTGGGCTCAGATGCAGCGTCTTAATCCTCCAGCGCCCAATCCCCAGACCATCCCGCACGTATGGGTTTATGATGAGCTTCGGCCGTACCTGTTGCGGGCGGGCGATCTCATCACTGAGAAGCAGGCAGAGAGGCGAGTCGTGATGCTTGCCAACCCAGCTCGAGGTGAGTCTCCCTTCTTTCTCTTTGCTTGTGGTTTTATATTGCTGATGCATTTCCGCAGAGGCACCATATACAACGGACACTCTGTATGCCGGTCTCCAGCTCGTGCAGCCTCGCGAGACTGCGCCCGCACATCGACACACGGCCTTTGCCTGCCGCTTCATCATTGAAGGCAGGGGCGGTTTCACAGCTGTCCACGGCCAGCGCGTTCCCATTCGTCCTCGCGATGTTATAGTAACCCCGACATGGAACTGGCACGACCATGGCAAGAAGGGCGCCGATGAGGAGGGTGGTGACGACCAGCCGGTGATCTGGCTCGATGGGCTAGACTTGCCCAGCTTCATTCACTTCCCCGTCCATTTCGTGGAGCACTATGCCAAGTCTCGATATCCCGCTGAGGACAGGGACGAGTCACCTATTGTCTTCCCCTGGGACAAGATGCAGGCCAAGCTTGATGCCAGCTCGGACGCCTGGGTCTCGCAGCCGTATCTCAAGAAAGACGGTAGAGAAAGTGAGTAGCGCTGGTCCTGGAAGCATAGCTTGCTATATATCGCTGACATGTTCCTTTCTTAGTCGGCCTCATCATCGGAGCCTCTGCCGAACGACTTGACCCAAAGTCTCAATCTCCTGGCATTCGCGAGACTGCCTCTTCCATATACCACGTCATTGAAGGATCCGGCTACTCCAAGATCAACGGCACGACATTGCAATGGAAGCAAGGCGATACTTTCTGCATTCCTGCTTGGCACCATTATCAGCACTTTGCGGATGGGGATAGCAAGGTCTACCTTTACCGGTTCGATGACAAGCCGATGCTCAATGCCCTGGGTTTTTACCGTGTCGAAGGAGTCGACACTGAGAAATATGTTACTGAATAGACAAGCTACGGCGTCGTAGCTTTCGCACAGATAGTTTATTTTAATCCAATTAACGTACTGACATGAATTGTATCTAAAAGGATCAATTGAGTCAGGATGCTGTCAATCTTCATTACGCTTTTCACTGACATGGACATGCTGGCACTTATTTCCAACTCACAAAATCTTGCTTGCTGGCTTAATGCACATATGCGTAGCTTGAAGATTGGTCAACCCCCTTTTGGTTGATTGCTTGCACTGCACTTATTCTACGATTCAATGGGCAATGAACCCAATTCATGGGCGGAAGACGGGACCAAATGATGATTCAATTCTGACTTGTGTAAATTCCCTGCATCTTATGGGTTTAGAATTACCGTCTGAGTCTTGACAAACTCCTCAAGCCCCCATTCAGCCCCAAACCTGCCGAACCCGCTCGTCTTGCTTCCGCCATGGGGTAACGTTGCCTCGTCATGCACAGTTGATGCGTTGACATGAACAGCTCCAGTGTCAATTCTCTGGGCCAGTTCCAGCGCCTGATGATGGTTTCTGGTCCATATGGCGCAAGAAAGGCCGTACTCGTTCTCGTTGACAATCTTGACCGCCTCATCTACGGTGCTAACCGTCACCACGCCAACTAAAGGTCCAAAGGACTCTGTGGAAAAGAAATCCATCGATGGCTCAACGTCTTCGATCAAGGTGACCGGAACATCCTGGGGGTCGCGAGCATTGGTATGCGTTTCAGTGGCAGCAGATACTACTTTGGCTCCTTTCTCCCTGGCTTGTCTCATCAAGGATAGAGACTTGGCAGCCCCGCGAGTACTGATGGCCCTGTATGATGTGGCGTGCAAGTTCTTGACATTATTCCGAAGTGTCTCTTTGAAGGCTTCGGCAATGTCAGCCGCGACAATGGCCAGGTCAGTAGACATGCAAACCTGACCTCCCTGTTGGGCCCCAGTTAGCATGAGAAAACTCCACTCTGATATCAGTTAGGAGAGGTGCAAGCTCACATTTACCGTCGCACCCTGAAGAATGGCCGAAGCTGCCTTCTCAACATCGGCATCCTTCAGGACGATGGAACAATTTTTCCCACCGAGCTCCAGCAGCACCGGCTTAAGGGCTCGGCCAGCCGTCTCGGCAATGATTCGACCAACGGCCGTAGAACCCGTGAAGTTGATCTTCCGAACCGCAGGATGCGTCACTAGGGCGTTGACTACATCCGCCGCATCTTCCGGTCGGTGCAGGATGAAGTTGACGACTCCAGGTGGGAAACCGGCTTCGACGAACAGTTCCGCAATGAAGTGGTGAGTTCTTGGACTCAGCTCAGATCCCTTGGGGAGAGAAGTCCGTTAGTTCCGCGTCTTAGATTGGGTGCATAGGCTCACCAAAGACCACTTACTTTGAGTATAGCTGTGTTTCCCATCGCGATAGGTGCCACCACGGCGCGAAAGCCCAGGACTAGGGGAGAGTTCCAGGGTGCGATTCCAAGGATTACTCCCATAGGCCGGGTGAAGACGAACCCGAATGATCTTTCGCCCTCTGTGTGTGGGATCGATCCATTCATAGTTCTCGATGTGACCAGAGAGGCGTTAGTTTCAATCAGACTGATGCTATCGCGGACATTTTGAGCAGCCCAAGCCTCAGAACAATGAATCTCGGCTTGGATGATGTCCTGAATCTCTTTCTCCCGTTGACGAAGCAGCTGTTCAGTATTAGGACTAATAATCGTAAACTCTTCTTAAGAGGGAAATTTATCTCTTTTCTCTATCTAGGAGGGGGAGCATACCTGAGCAAGGTGCAGGAGCAAACGCCGTCTCTTTAGCGGGGATGTCCGAGACCACGACTGAAACGCCTTGCCGCTACTTTGGACGGCTTTCTGGCAATCTGAAAGGTCGGCAGCGTGAAACCGACAACCTATTGAGGTGTGAGTTTTTGACTCGGTCTCGTCAAAGACATCGGTGCCATGGATTATGAGTGGTATGTTGGTGACATCGTCAGGTGTCTTCATTGGCTGAGGCTTGGTGTAAGTCATGGTGGTTGTCGTGCTTCAATGAGACGGACTTTGGGCTGCCTAGTAATTGATATGGTAATAACTTATATGGTAAAAGATGCAATACAGGTCTTGAAAAAATCTTTCGAGCCGATATTGAATGTGAGAATGAAACAACAGTGCCTTACTGCCACGACAGACCTCGTCTGAATGGACAACGGTGGTAACGGAATCCGGGGGAAATTCGGACACCGTGCCGTGCCGCTTATACAGAGTAGGCTTGCCATTCTAATCAACGGCTGACACTGAGATGAAGTTATTACAATAAGTATATTTGTATCGAAGATAAACCACATGAGGAGTAAAGATGATTCTCCATGATCATAATGCTTCAAGTACTTGTACATGTATATTTACAGCGCTTGGAGACTCATATAGAGGACAAGCGAGGCAAATCCTACGTAAGTAGCTTCGCCGGGGAGAAATCGGGATCATGTTCCACATGTTCCACATGCTCCTTTGCTATTAAGACTCGACTGGATATTAAACCGTGCCACACCTCTAACCATTTCCTATGCTTTCTTACCGTATCATTACCTCGCTTTAGTTTTAACAATGTCAGGACATTTCCGAGGCTCCGAGGCTTCTCAGGCCTTCCCAAAACTACCCCAGTTTTCGGGGTTCATGAAGCCATGCCGCTTCGAAGGCGAGATCCAACATCTTGAGGTTGAGGGTGACTTGCCCAAAGAGCTTGATGGCACTTTCTACCGTGTCATGCCCGATCCTCAGTTTCCACCCTTTATTGAGAATGACCCTGTACGTGATGATTCGAATTGAATGGGATGGTGCTAATGCTCGACAAGTGGTTCAATGGTGATGGCAACATCAGTGCTTTTCGGTTCAACAAAGGCAGCGTCCATCTCCAGCAAAAGTATGTGCGCACCGAGAAGTTCACCAAGGAAAGGGAGGCCAAGAGAGCTCTTGCGGGTAAGTCTTGGCGACATACTGCCTTCTAATAGACCACATTATTCATAAGTGCCTACATAGGGGCGTACCGGAACAAGTTCACGGATGCTGTCGAGTTCAAGATCCGCACGACTGCCAACACAAACATCTTCTACTTTAACAAGATTTTGTTGGCCATTAAAGAAGACGCAGCTCCCTGGGCCATGGATCCCGTCACCCTCGATACGATTGGCCTCTGGGATTTCAACGGCCAACTTCCCAGTCTCACTTTTACTGCTCACCCAAAGCTGGATCCCGTCACAAAGGAGTTGGTCTGCTTCGGATACGAGGCCAAGGGCGATGGAACGCCGGACATATGCTACTACAACATCAGCCCAAGTGGGAAGTTTACGCAGGTTGTCTGGCTCGTATCGCCCGTAGTGGGAATGATTCACGATTTCGCAGTAACTGAAAACTGGGTGGGTAGTGGCCACCTACGGAGATTGATTCCGACTAATCGACGTGTGTAGGTTCTGTTTCCAATGATCCCTCAATTATGTGATATTGAGAGACTTAAGCAAGGGGGGGAGCATTGGCAGTGGGACCCGGAAGTCCCCTTTTACCTGGGCGTTCTGCCGCGCAGAGGGGCCAAAGGCGATGATATCAAGGTATGCCTGGTATCTAGAGTATCCTGCTCTCATTGGCCTCTCATGTTACTTAGGGCAATGACTAAATTGACTCCTCTTTAGTGGTTCAGGGCTCCAAATGCTTTCCCGGGCCACACCACAAATGCATACGAAACGTCCGAGGGCAATATTGTTTTCGACCTCCCCCTAACCGACAAGAACGTCTTCTTCTGGTGGCCTGACGCGAACGGGAACGCCCCAGCGCCCCACGACATCCACGCAAAGTATGTGCGGTTCACATTAGACCCAAAATCATCCGACCTCGAGCTACTTCCCCACGAGATCATCGCCGAGTGCGACATGGAGTTCCCCCGAATCGACGACCGCATGTCCATGAAGCGTCACAGGCACAGTTTCTTCGACATGATGGATCCCACCCTAGGCACAGACTTTGCTGCCATCATGCCAGTGCTCGGCGGCGGGCATCCCCTATATAACTCTCTGGGCCATCTTGACCATCAGACTGGCCAGCTCGAGGTGTACTTCCCCGGGAAGACGCACATGGTCCAGGAGCCCGTGTTTGTTCCCCGGTCGGATGCCGCGCCCGAGGGTGACGGCTTCCTGATCGTTCTGGTGAGTAACTATGCTACCATGTCGAGCGAACTGCACATTGTAGACACTAGAAACTTTTCCACCGTGAGGGCAATTGTGCACTTGAACATTCGACTGAGGGCAGGGTTGCATGGAAATTGGGTTGATTCAAGGGATCTGGAGGATCGAGAGAGTTTACCGCAAGCCGGTTCTATCTGAGTAACTAGTTTCCATCAAATAATGCTTTAATTTACCTGGTTGATGACAAAGTTGGTAGTCATTCACGCTTACAATTGTTATCATCGCATTAAAAATATGGCTGGAGGTGGATATAATGGGAAGATATAGTTGATGACTGCTGACTTATTGCACCTTACCAAGGAGATGCGCACTTGAAGAGTGTCTTCTCCAGTCGTTTTCTATGTCTTTGAGGTATCTATCCCAGAATTTGCATGGGTCAGCTTATTCCTGATGCCGCCCAATATCGTGTCATTCTTGGTGAGGGCAGATTCGCAGATGCCCCCCAGTGCTCTCTCCAATACAATCCATCTTCTCCTCTCTGATCTAAAGCCCTTTCTGAACCGGCCTGACAATCTTTATGTCCCGTTTAATTGTTAATTCTCAAGCCTCAATAATTGCTGTATCGGCTTCGGATGTAGTAGGAGCGCTTCCCCTTTTTAGATGGGCGAAGGCTGAATTGCTGTTGGTCCTCTGACTCATTTATCTTTGCCTAGCTGACACATTTGTTAGCCCTATGCATCAAATGCATCAACTCGACAAGTAATAATATGGATCCTTGCCTCTTATACAGAAACTAGAGCGGGGAAAGCATGATCAAGATGAGTGCCTATATAACCGCAGTCATCCAGGGCCTCGACTCAGTTTCTTCCAACATCTGCGAGTCACCCATCCATTTTCACCATGCCAGCTATTTCTATTTAACGATGTCAGCTAGCGACCCCTATCCTACTTTCCCTCTTTTCCCAGACCTTCCTCCTGAACTTCGCAATCAGATATGGCTTAATGCAATGCCAACTCTCAAGCCGTCCATTCATCTCTACCACAGGGGTTGCTGGCTCCATCAGCCACTTAATCCATCCGATGAGGGGTATGGCCTAGACGATGAAGGTCCCCCCGTTTCCTTTCGACTTGAGCTAGTCAAGAAGACGTGGCTTGAAGCTCCCTTGGTGTATGTGAATTATGAAGCACGGCAAGCTGCACTCAAATGGGGAGAGCAACATGGAATGCCATTCTGCTCCCTCCCAGACACAGAGCGCTTGGTATTTCTACGCTCCTTCAATGCAAACATTGATGCGCTTGGCGTTCCATATGAAGAGTGGGAGAATCTCATACTCGAGCTTGCCGATCGTCAGTCAGAGCCTGATCTTATTAATCAGACTGTGAGGCCAATCTCAGCTATCAAGCAATTCATTCTCTCAGAAAGGATGCTGAAAAGTTGTGTCTCTGAAATTGATGAGTTATTTGAAGTCTATTGTGGGTTGGAAACAGTCTATATTATTGATGGTGAAATGCCAGAATTAGACGCAGCAAGTTCCGCCACAGGGTTGTTGCAATCATGGGAATATGAACCTTCTGGAGTGAAGGGCTGGAGATGGGACCCAGAACAACGCAGGTTGGCGGCCCAGGAAAACACTCAAATCAGAAGCCCAACATTATATGCGCTGATGGAAGAGGCTGCCAGGGTCGTTACCGAGGCTTTTACTAGGTATGCACCACACTTTGCTATTGTTCCTGTAAGTGTTTCTAGGACACAGAGTTTATCAAGCGAAGCTTGGTGATGTATAAAGGCAGGAGCCGGAGCGCAGATTCTAGATTCGTTTCTATATAGGACGTTGAAGCATTACGTGATGTAAGATACTGACTAGCAATTAGTCAGTTTTGACATAACAGCTGGGTTTTTTTAGAGTGGCATCGTGGCTTCTATTGCTATGTAACTGAGATTGATGGGCTGGCTGCTCGAGTGGTTATTTATGTTTCCTTGATCTCATTTACCTTGGCCCTCATGAACGCTATCAACAGCTGTAGCCTCTAGCTACCTTGAGCAATCAAGTCAGATCCTATTTGCCGCGATGATGATGAATATAACCAATGGCTACAAACTCGAGCTACTACTATTCACAGTGACTCTCCCCTTGGCTGATCTTTGGATAAGTCGACTGTCTGTAGACGAACACAAGACGTTGGTGAACAGTGCATTTGGCATGAGCGTATTCGCGTATGGACCTTTGAAACATGCTTTATACATTCTTTCATCCCTTCACAGGTATTAGATATTAATTCTTTAACTACCAAGTGCACACTACACGTGTAACTAGGTGCTGCAAGAATGACACAATTTTGACAAGAAGCGGCTGACAAATCCTTCCAATGATGCTCTGCAGCTCTGCTGTACACCATATGGGAAAACAAAAGGAGAAGAGGGTCCTAACGGTAGGTAGTCTGTCGAGATCTTTCTGATTTCGTGCTCAGGCTTTTCTACCCTACCTCGAAAAGATGCTATGGGACTTTGGCGTGGAAGACAACAAACCAATCACCACGCTGTTGGCCCAAGCCAAACATTCAAATGAAGCTCATATGCACTTGCCAATTCCATGGAAGAGGGGGGAGCTCTCTCCGATCCCGTAGATCTTCGTCTGTCTTGCCAGTTCACCTACCTACCCTGTGTATCCTCTGTATCAGCTCCTCGATTAAAGTACATCGACGCATTAGTCTGGAAAAAAATCTTAGATAGAAAGTATTCATGCTCGTAACTATCGGCACCAACTTTTGGTAGAGAATCCAGTCAATAATGACATCGTCCCAATGGGGTGTCACATTCAGTATATCATCAACAGGTGCCAGTTGACATCGCCTAGGCTC